GTCTCAACAACCTTTGCCTCTGAGGGAGAGTTCAATATTAAAATTTTACAGCTTAAAAATTTCTACAAAAGTGATTGAATTTAGCTCTTTTGCTGTGTATCAGGAACGTGTTGTTGCTTTTTAGATAATTTTTTTGGAAGGGTCTGTACATAATTTATTTTTTATGTAAATTTTTCCCTTTACAAGATCCCCTGATTTATTTATTTGCTTATAAGTTTGGGTTTTCCTGCACGTCTTTGGTATCTGCTTTTAAAATTAAATATAGATGAGATTTGCCACATGAAAAGAAATCCAGCCATGGCTAGGAGGACAAACCCAGAAGGAAACAGATCCAAACGTAATAATGGGATATGTCGGGATGGTGATTTTCTTCTTGAAAATTTCATGTGAAATTTTAATGTGCATGCTATTTTTATAATAATAAACAAAACCACAAACAACAACAAGAAAATCCAGCTACATAATCTTACTGTGTACTCTTTTTCCATACTACCTGAGAGAACGTGTGTGTGTTGCATCTTCTTTAGGCTTAATTGATCTTACAGAGGATGGGAGCAAAGCTGTTTAAATCCTTTCTGGAGCAAGGGGAGTATGTGTTAAATATTAATCTGAAACTTTTAGATTGTTTTTAGCAGCTTCACTTTTGCTGTAATTGTCTTAGAACTCCAGAACCAGAAGAGACTTGGTTCAACCCAGATCTGCACTGTCCAGTATGGTATCCACTAGCCACATGTGGTTATTTAAATGGAAATTAACATTAAAGAAAATTGAAAATTTATTTTCTTGGTTGCATGAGCCGCATTTCAAGTCCCCAGTAGCCACATGTGGCTAGTGGCTACTGGATTGGACAGCACAGATCTAGAGCATGTTTATCATCATAGAAAGTTCTATGCTGATCTAGCTCTACTCCATTTTATATTTGGTTTTGATCAAGGACATGTGTTTAAAGTGCTAATCATTGAGATCACCAACTGAGTTGAACTTTATTTCTTCATTTTCATTTTCCAGTTTTTGGAGCCGTGAGGGATACAGCAGTTTGGTCAATATTGTTTTAACATGCTTCAAATAAATCAGGTGAGTTTGTGTTAAGGCATGTCATACTTACATGGTGCTTGGGCCGTACATTGTGGAACATTTTAACTCAGCTTTTCTATAACCATAACCTGCCCACTGCTTATAGAGCAATTCCGTACTCTGTATTCATCTTAGGAGACTGTGCAGGGCAGGCTGTTGAAGGATTATGGTGATAGGCCTGACAGTTGATAACGTATGAGCGTGCAGAGCAGGTTTGTTCTTATTGATGTCACATCCCTCCAGGACTTGTCCGTGTGTTCAGAATGCTTACAGTTAGGATCTAGCTTCAGGAGCTGGCGGTTCTGCAGACTGAAGGCATTTCTAGTGGCAAATCTTGTGAAGCAGTTTTATCAGCGTGTTAAGAAAGGTTCCTTTTCTAGGGCCCTGGAAAAGTCTACGAGGAAGTGCTCTGCTAAATAAACTATAGCATATAATGCCTTACCCTCACTGGAAAATATTTTTCTCAGGTCTTGGTGTTTCTCCAAGAACTTTATGCATTTAATCTGATCCTTTCTGAACAAATAGGGCATTGTGTCGTAACTATAATATTAGAAAACACTTCACTTCAAATTTGCAAATTAATAGGGAAGTAGGTAATTTGATTGCAAGAAGTAAGTAATTTTCTTGTGAGTTGAGGAAGTAATACATGCCCCCCGCCCCTGCCCTGTCCAGCTCATTCACCGTGCCTTAGAGATCTGCAGTCCCTGTGCATCACATGCCATCCCTAAGCCAGTGACTTCCAGGGTTATCTCTGGTCTAGACCTCTTTTCTGAGCTCCAGACTCACGTAGCAGTTAGCAACTTGATCTCTTAAGTTGGATGTCTTCGTACATCTCAGACTTAACGTGTGCCCAGGCAACAGTCTAAATGCTTCAGTTACACTAGACTGTTCAGTTCCTAGATTGGGCACGGCCGTTCCCGCTGCAGGGGCTTTGCACAGAACGCTCTGCCTGGACCTCTCTTCTCCTCCCTGTGCTTGGCTCCCAGGCCTAGTATGTGCTCCATAGCACCCTGTCCTTTTATTTAATGACATCCTGACATGCGCAGTTATGTTCAAATATGTAATTATTAATGTCTGTCTTCCTTGTTAGATGGCATGCTCCATGAAGGCAGGTCCTACGTCTCCAGATCCTAGACTAGTTCTTGTTGTATATGGTTTTCATGTTTTTGCTGAGTGAGTGGATGAACGGTGCTAGGGTTGTCACCAAAGTGGGGAGATCTCCATTCTTTTCAACAATAGTCATATAACTGTGTCATCAGTTTTGGTATTAGGTGATACTTTCTTTACACAATTGCCATGAACATAAAATCTCTCCCTTATGCAAAGTTGTTCTTTGATTTTCTCCTTGTACTAGAAAATTTTCTTGTGCAAGAAGTATTGCTTCATCAAAGACGTTACTAATATAGGCTTAAAGGACTCTGAAAGCTGTACTGTGCTTAGTGCTTCCTGTACCTTCACACTTGCTCTCAAGTGCCATTGGATGCACTGATGGAGCTTCATGAGACGTGACTTGCAAACTGTCGTAGGTGTGAAGTTGCTGCTGAATGACTGTGTGAATACCTGCCATTGATTTTGGGGACAGTTAGAATAATTTGTTTCATATCCTACCACAGACAGATGGAAATGATCGTTGGTTTTATGCCAGTCAACATCATTGAAAATTATAGTTTATTGCTTAGTCCTACTGAGAATTTGCTTACCTTCTGTACTCCTGTGCATGTTGAATCAGACATTCCAGACAGTTTCTAGGCTACATTCATTTGGCCACAAGCGTGGCCCTGGGCTTTGGCTGGAAATTGTACACAGTGCCTGGAGATAGACCTGCTTTGCTTGTACCAGATATGCCTTCCTCGACTCACTGCAGGACCTTCTCTTGTTACTGACTAAGTTTTATCCCCCAGAATGTTCAGACCTGAGGGGGAAAGTTAACCTAATTTGGGATAGCAGAAGTTATAGAGAAGACTTTCTCTTCAGCCAAACCTAGAGTCACTTTGAGTTCTTAAACGTCTGAGTGATTTTCTGATCTGTCATTTTCGTGGTGACAGCTTTCCCATTAGAGTGAGGGGTCTCAAGATGAAGGAGAAAAGGCGTGAGAAGGCGATTGAAGCTGACGCTCAGCTGGGAGGAGTTCAGATTTTACTACATGATTTTTCAACACTGTCTTTAGGATTAGTGCTAAATTTTTATTTTGGGAGGTCTTTTTGTTTGTTGTCTTAAAACACCTGAGTAGTACTAATATTCTTCCATGTGTGTTCCTAGAACTAATTAAAAACTAGGCTGTCAAATACTGTTATTTGATGTTTTATTTGATATTAGTTCTGCCTGATATTATTATTATTAGGCAACATGGAAATGTTCCATGTTCTGTTACAATAATGATACATCTGTCTAACTTGTGCTCATTTTTACTTTTGCTTTCTAAGACTTTGTGTTGCTATCCATGTGCAACTCATTAGGTGGTATAGATATGCAAAAAAACCCAAAAAACGAAAAACTGCACAAATTTCCACTGTTATTTTACAGAGATAACCACTGCTAACCTTTTGGGGTGTGTACTTTTAGTTTTTTTCTCTGCAAGTATGTTTTTCTGTGAATACATGTTATTTTAAAAAACTGGGATTATACAATAAGTTCTATTCTGAAGTGACTTAATAATCCATAGTTTGGAGGTACTAAAATTTATTTAATCGAACGTTTATTATTGCACAGATTTTGTATTATATTTAGTGCCACAGTGAGTTTTTTGTTGTTTACATAAATCTGTGCTCCTTTGTCCATTATTTTCTTGTAATTATTGTAATTATTAGAAATGAGAAATTATTAGAAATTTCTTGTAATTATTAGAAATGGAAATATTGGCCAAAGGAGTATGCAGATTTTAAAGATATTTGATGCATAAATACCAAAAATACAAAATAATATCTATTATAAGTGTATTGGAATGCCAGTTTTCTTACTTCCTTAACAAATTTTCAATATTTGCCCATCTGTCTGACAAAAAGTGATATTTTAATTTGCATTTCCATAATTTGCTTATAGTTGTTTTCTTTTGTGTTTTGTGTTTTGCAAATTGCTTATATGTGTCCAAGTGCTTATCTGGTATCTTTTCCTTTTTACTTGTAAATAAAATTCTTTGGATTATACCCCATTGAGAATTTATGGGCTAGTATTTATAATTGTTACTCTCTATTTTTTTCATTTATCAGTCAACAAATAACTAATGGGAACCTATGTTTCTAGGTACCATGCTAAGTAGGAGTTTGGTATATTTTGGACCTTTCTCCTTGATGATTAATCATAAGCTCCTACGGAAAGGAAACCCATTTTAACATTAAGCTGTTGCAAATATACATTAAGAAGGCACATTTGCTGTGAAATAATGTTTTAAAATGAGTAGCTGAAATAAGGCAAAGTTTTTGGAATGAGTTGGTGAGGCTGACTTGTGAGGGCAGTGTGTCCTGAGGGGCTGGGAAGTCTGTGTGTTAGCTGTAGCCCTCGGAGAGCCCAGCAACAGGGATTAACAGAGATCCAAGTAGTCTGGTGGTTCCTTTTAAAGAGGTTTGGTAGTAGATGTTGGGAACCTGAAAGCTAAGAGGAAGCTGTAAGTCCTGACTCAAGTGGAATGGGAGGACAGGCAGGACAAAACAGAATTTCAGTGCCAGAAGAGTGGGAGAACCCTGTAGGGCAAGAGGGAGCCAGGTGTTATATAGGAAGGATAAAGTTGTACCAAGATTTACTGTAAAGTGTAAAGCCAGGGTATGGTCATCAAGAACCAAAGGCCTAAAGGGATAATGATACTTATTGCACAGGCTTGTTGTGAGGACTAAGTGAGATAACAAAGGCCAAACTGCTTAGTGTTCTTCCTGGTATTATTGCTGCTGCTGTTAATATTACTGTAGGCATACCTCGGAGATACTGTGGGTTCAGTTCCAGACCACCATGATAAGGTGAATATCACAATAAAGTGAGTCATATGACTTTTTTGGTTTCCCATTCCATTTAAAAGTTATTTACTAAGTGTGTGATAGCATTATATCTAAAAGAACAATGTACATACCTTAGTTAAAAAATACTTTATTGCTAAAAAATGCTACCATCATCTGAGCCTTCAGTGAGTTGTAGTCTTTTTGCTGGTGGAGGGCCTTGCCTCGGTGTTGATGGCTGCTGACTGATCAAGGGGCTGGTTGCTGAAGGCTGGGGTGGCTGTGGCAATTTCTAAAGTAAGACGACGGTGAAGTTTGCTGCATAGATTGACTGTTCCTTTCATGAATGATTTCTCTGTAGCATATGATGCTGTTTAATAGCATTTTACCCACAGTAGAACTTCTTTCAGAATTGGAGTCAGTTCTCTCAAATCTTGCTGCTGCTTTATCAACTAAGTTTATGTAATATTCTAAATCCTTTGTTGTCATTTCAACAATCTTCAAAGTATCTTCACTGGGAGTAGATCCCATCTCAATAACCACATTCTTTGCTCATCCCTAGTAGACAACTACTCATCTGTTAAATTTTTATCATGAGATTGTAGCAATTCAGTCACATCTTCAGGCTCCACGTGTAATTCTAGTTCTCCTGCTATTTCCGCCACATCTCCTGTTACCTCCTCCGTTGAAGTCTTGAACCCCTCGAAGTCTTCCCTGAGGGTTGGAATCAACTTCTTCCAAGCTGTTGTTAATGCTGACATTTGGACTTCTTCCCATGAATCATGAATGTTCTTAATGGCATCTAGAGTAGTAAACCCTTTCTAAAGGTTTTCCATTGAGTTTGCCCAGATCCATGAGAAGAATCACTGTCCGTGGCAGCTATAGCCTTACAAAATGTATTTCTTAAATAATAAGACTTGAAAGTTGAAATGACTGTTTGATCCATGGGCTGCAGAGTGGATGTTGTATTAGCAGGCATGAGAACAACATTAATCTTGTACATCTCCATCAGAGCTCTTGGGTGACCAGGTACATTGTCAGTGAGCAGCCGTATTTTTTTTTTTTTTGAGGAAGATTAGCCCTGAGCTAACTGCTGCCAATCCTCCTCTTTTTGCTGAGGAAGACGGGCCCTGAGCTAACATCAGTGCCCATCTTCTTCTACTTTATATGTGGGATGCCTCCCACAGCATGGCATGCCAAGCAGTGCCATGTCCGCACCCGGGATCTGAACTGGCGAACCCCACGTCGCTGAAGTGGAATGTGCACACTTAACCACTGCACCACCGGGCCAGCCCCAGCAGCCATATTTTGAATGGAATCTTTTTATGAGCAGTAGGTCTCAACAGTGGGCTTAAAACATTCAGTAAATTATGTTGTAAACAGATACACTGTCATCCAGGCTTTGTTGTTCTATTTATAGAGCACAGACAAAGTAGATTTAGCATCATTCTTAAGGGCCCTAGGATTTCCAGAATGGTAAATGAGCATTGGCTTCAACTTAAACTCACCAGCTGCATTAGCCCCTAACAGGAGTCAGCCTGTCATTTGAAGCTTTGAAGCCAGGCATTGACTTCTCCTCTCTAGCTATGAATGTCCTAGGTGGCATCTTCTTCCAATAGAAGGCTCTTTCACCTACATTGAAAATCCGTTGTTTCGTGTAGCACCTTCATTAACAATCTCAGCTAGATCTTCTGCATAACCAGCTGCAGCTTCTCCATCAGCACCTACTGCTTCACCTTGCACTTTTATGTTATGGAGACGGCTTCTTAAACCTCATGAACCAACTTCTGTTGGATTCAGACTTTTCTTCTGCAGCTTCCTCACCTCTCTCAGCCTTCATAGAATTGAAGAGAGTGAGGGCCTTGCTCTGGATTAGGCTTTGATTTAAGGGAATGTTGTGGCTGGTTGGATCCTCTATCCAGACCACTGAAACTTTCTCCCTATCAACAATGAGGCTGTTTTGCTTTTTCTCATTTGTGTGTTCACTGGAGCAGCACTTTTAATATTTTCAAGAACTTTTTATTTGCATTCACACCTTGGCTAATTCTTTGGCACAAGAGGTCTAGCTTTCAGCCTGTCTCAACTTTCGACATGCCTTCCTCACTAAGCTTAATCATTTCTACCTTTTTGTTTAAAGTGAGAAACGTGCTACTCTTCCTTTCACCTGAACACTTTGAAGCCACTGCAGGGTTATTAATTGGTCTAATTTCAATATTGTTGTGTCTCAGGGAATAGGGAGGCCCAAGGAGAGGGAGAGAAACGGGAACAACTGGTTGGTGTAACAGACAGAACACACACAACGTTTATCGATTAAGTTTGCTGTCTTATATGGATGTGGTTTGTGGTGTCCCAAAACAGTTACAATAGTACCATCAAAGATCGCTGATCACAGATCGCCATAACAAATACAATAATAATGTAAAAATTTGAAATATTGCAGGAATTACCAAAATGTGACAGAGACACGAAGTGAGCAAATGCTGTTGGAAAATGGCACTGATAGACTTGCTCGAAGCAGGGTTGGCACAAACCTTCAATTTGTAAAAAAGGCAATATCTGTGAAGTGTGATAAAGTGAAGCCCAATAAAACGAGGTATGCCTGTGTTAATGTTGCTGTTGCTATTGCTATCTGGCTCTGCAGATTGATGAGAAATGAGGATAGACATTTAGGTTTGTTGTTAGAGTAAAATAGTTGTTTGAATATGGTAGAAGTGATGGATCATTTCCCAGGATAGGTTATAAAAGAAGTTGTGGCTTTTGCCTCCTCTTCCTACCCCCACCCATCACCCCTTCCTACCCCAGTTGCTCACTCTGAGAGTCATTAGCTGCCATGTTATGAATAACCCTATGGAGAGGCCCATGTGGTAAGAAATTGAGGTCCCCAGCCAACAGCTAACAAGGAACTGAGGCCTTTAGTCAACAATGTGTGACTGAGCCTTCTTGGAAGCAGACCTCCCAGCCCTTGTCAAGCTTCCAGCCCTAGGCTACTGACCCGTTGACATCTTGACTGCAACCTCGTGAGAGATCCTGAGCTAGAACCACCCAGCTAAGCTGCTCCTTAATTGCTGGACCTCAGAAAGTCTGTGAAAAAAATAAATGCTTGTTTTTTGCATCACTAAGTTGGGAGTAATTTGTTATGCACCAATAATAAACCCTTCCTCCTTAACTTGAGGACATATAAATATGTAAACAAGGTTTCTAGACATTAGATGACAGGTGACACTAGACTGTGCTCCCTGAGGGAATGGAAACAGATGAAGTAATCCCTTCTATTGCGCCAGTTTATGGTATAGCCAAGGGGTTTTTTACAGGCTGCTGAGCAGGGAGGAGGAAGCAAAACAGAGCCCAGTCTTGCTGAGATTAGGAAACAAAGATAAAGAATATGGGAAGGCCAAGATGGGTAGAATTGCAGGGCAGAGTGCCAGAGAGAAGGGAGCTGTGGGGGAGCAAGGTGAGTATATCTCAAAGTAAAAGAGTGCACTCAAGCATCTGTGCAATCTGGAGATGTGCAGGGGATTCTCCTTGAGTCTTTGGCTGAGTCTTGATCTCTGGATGTGTGATGACAGGACCTACTCGGTACAGGGAAAGAACTGCTGGAAAGCAGTAAGAAAACAATTTCTAGAGCTCACACAAGACTGGGAATAGTTTGTGTTTCCATTATCCAGAGTGTAAAGACCTTGTAATATGTGGGGCATTGGGAAGAATCCACAGAAGGCTCCAGGTGATGCCAGTAATTTAACTGTGCACCAGAACAAAGCCCAACACTGTTTAGAGAAATACAACATAATTCAAAAGCTAACAGTGTAAAATTCAGTTTTTGTCATCCAGTCAAAAGTTAAAATGCTTTCCTCACCTTGAATAAGGGATGGAACATCTAGGTAGAAGATCAGTAAGGAAATAGAGGACCTGAATAATTAGACCTAACAGGCATATACAAAACACTCAGCAAGAGCAGAATACCCATTCTTCTCAAATACATATGAAACACTTTGCAGGGATAGACCAAATGTTAGGCCACAAAACAAGTCTCAGTATGTTTTATAAGACTGAAATCATACAAAGTATCTTATCCAGTCACAGTGGAATAAAGCCAGAAATCAATAAGAGAAAGAATACTGGAGAACTCTCAAAAAGTGGAAATCAAACAACACACTAAAATAACCAACATGGCAAAGAAGAAATCACAGGGTAAATTAGAAAATAGGGGGGAAAAAAAGAAAATAATTAGAGACAAATGAAAATGAAAACACAATGATATCATAACTTAGGGGACGCAGCAAAAGCAGTGCTCAGAGGGAAATTTATAGGAGTAAACATCTACATTTAAAAAGAAGAAGGATCTAAAACAAATAACCTAACTTTTCACCTTAAGGAAACTAGAAAAAGAGAAGCAAATTAAACCCAAGACTAGGTGAAGAAAGGAGATGATAAAAATTAAATTGGAGATAAATGAACTAGGCAATAGGAAACGTTATAGAGAATCAGCAAAACCGAAAGTTGATTCTTTGAAAACATCAACAAAATTGACAGACCTCCTTTAGCTAGAGTAACAGAGTGAAGAAAAAAAAGAGAGCAAAGATGCGTATCGCTAAAATCAGAAATGAAAGTGGGGAAATTACCACTGACCTTAAATAAAAAAGATTGAGAGAATACTATGAACAGTTGCATGCCAACAAATTGGATAACCTACATAAAACAGACAAATTCCTAGAAACACAAATTACCAAAATTGACTCAAGAAGAAATAGAAAATTTGAACAGATCTGTAACAAGTAAACAGATTGAATGAGTGATTAAAAAAATCCTTCGCAAGCAAAGAAAAGTGCAGGGCTAGGTGGCTTCACTGATGGAATAAATGCCAATCTTTTTCAAACTTTTCCAGAAAATAGCAGAGGAGAGAATACTTCCTAACTCATCCTGAGAGACCAGCATTACTCTGATACCAAAGCCAAACAAAGATACTACAAGGAAAAAAAACACTATAGATCAATACTCATTATGAAAATAGATGTAAAAATCCTCAACAAAATACTGATGAACTGAATCCAACAGTATATTTCAAGGAGTATACACCATGACCAAGTAGGATTTATCCCAGGAATGCAAGGGTGGTTCAACATTGGAAAATCAGTCAATGTAATACACTGCATTAAAAGAATGAAGGGGGAAAAAACCCCATGTGATCGTCTCAGTTGATACAGAAAGCATTTGACAAAATCCAACACCTGACCTTAATAGAAACACTCAAAAACTAGGACTAGAAAGGAGATTCTATAACATGGTAATGGACATTTAGGAAAAAACCCACAGCTGACATCTAACTGAATGGCGCGAGGCTGAAAACTTTCTCCTTATGAGCTGGAACAAGACAAAGATGCCTGTTCTCACCACTGCTGTTCAACAATATACTGTAAGTTACAGCCAGAGCAATTAGACAAGAAAAAGAAAAGGCATCCAGATTGGGAAGGAAGAAGTAAAACTATTTCTATTTTCAGATGATATAATCCCATATATAGAAAAACCCCAAAGAATCTACAAAAAATCTGCTAAAGCTAATAACTTCAGAAAAGTTGTAGGTACAAGATTAACACACAAAATGCAGTTGTGTTTCTGTATACCAGCAGCGAACAATCCAATAAAGAGATTAAGAAAACAGTTCCATTTACAATAGCATCCGAAAGCATATAGGAGTTGAAAGACTTGTACACTAAAAGCTACAAAAGTACTTGAACTTGTTTCGGCAGAAGTTAAAGAAGACCTAAATATGGAAAGATATTCTTTGTTTATGGATTGGAATACTTAATATTGTTAAGGTGGAAGTATTGTGCAAAACAATGTGCAGATTCAGTGCTGTCTCTATCAAAATTCCAGTAACCTTTTTTGCAGAACTGGAAAAGCTGATCCTCAAAATTATGGCATTGCAGTGAGCCCAAATAGTCAAAACAATCTTGAAAAAGAAGAGTTGGAGGAGTCATACTAGTATATAGTATATATATCTACTATACTATAGTATCAAAATATGCTATATAGCTACAGTAATCAGAACTGAGTAGTACTAGCATAAGGATAGACATAGACCAATGGAATGGAATTGAGAGGCTAGAGATAAACTAAAACATATATAGCCAATTGATTTTTGACAAAGGACCAAGACCATTTAATGTGGGAAAAACATAATCTCTTCAACAAATAGCTCTAGGACAACTGTATATCCACTTGCAAAAGAATAAATTTAGACCCTTGTCTCACATCATGTACAAAAATTAACTCAAAATGGATCAATGACTAAGTATAAGAACTAAAACTCTTAAAAGTCAACAACAAAAGTATAAACAGCCCAGCTGAAAAAAAAAAGGGCAAAGGACTTGCATAGACTGTTCTCCAGAGAAGATATACAAATGGTCGACATGCACATGAACAAATGCTCAACCTCATTAGTGATTAGGGAAGTGCAAATGACAACCACAGTGAGATACCACTTCATGCCCAGTGGGATGGCTAGAATCAAAAAGACCAACAGTAACAAGTGTGGACAAGGATGTGGAGACAGTGGGATCCTTGTACCTTGCTGCTGAGAATATAAAATGGTTCAGCCTCTGTGCAAAACAGTTAGGCAGTTTTTAAAAAAGTTAAACATAGAATTATCATATGACCCAGCAATTTCACTTCTAAGTATATACCCAAAAGATTAGAAAACAGATACTCAATATATCTATACACATGTTCATAGTAACACTATTTACAATAAGCAAATGATGGAAGCAGCCCAGATGTCTGCATAGATGGATGAATGGGTAAACAAATTGTGGTATTTACATACCATAGAATATTATTCAGCTGTGAAAAAAAAAAAAAGACGAGTACTGATTTCACAGTTGACAGTGTGGTCAACTTTGAAAACATTTTGCTAAGTGAAAGAAGTTAGATGCAAAAGGTCACATACATGATTCCATTTATATCAAATATCCAGAATAAGTAAATCTATAGAGACAGAACACATATTGGTAGTTGCCAGGGCCTAGGGAGTAAGGGGAAGTGGGGAGCAACTGCCTAAAGGGTACGAAGTTTATTTTGGGGGTGATAAAAATGTTGCGGAACTAGATAGAGGTGGTGATTGCACAACATTGTGAATGTGCTTTTTGCCACAGATTTTCACTTTAAAATGGTTAATTTGATGTTATGTCAATTTTACCATAATAAAAAAAATTTAAAATGCTTGCAAAGAAGTGTGAAAATATGACCCATAACCAGGGTAAAAAATTAATAGAGACCCAGAAATGACAAAGATGGTTGAGTTAGCACACAAAGATGTAAAAAGAGCTGCTATCAGTATGCACCAAATGTTCAAGAAGGTAGAGGAAAACAGGAAAATGATAAGGAACAAAATAAAAGATATAAAATATGCTTAAATAGAACTTCTAGAGATGAAGAATGCAATATCTGAAATAAAAAAATATATCCTGGATGGGATTAATAGCAGATAAAATACTGTAGAAGAAAAGAGACTGAGCTTGAATATGTAGGAATAGCAACTATCCAAGATGAAGCAGAGAGTGAAAAAGATTGGAAAAAAAGTGAGCAGAGCATCTGTGAGCTGTTGGACAATCTTAAGTAGTCTAAAATATATGTAAGTAGATTCTCAGGAGAAGGGAGGGGGAACAGGAAAATATTAGAACAAATAATGACTGAAAATGTTTATGTTTCATGCAAGTTATAAACCCATAGGTCTATAAAGATCAGAGAATGTAATTTGGAAGAAACATTTAAAAACCGCAAAAGGCACGTCATAATCAAGTGACTGAAAACCAGTGATAGTGGAAGAAAATCTTAAAAGCAGCCAGAGGAAAAAGATGCATTATGAACAGAGAAATAGAGATGAGAATGACAGAGTTTTTGTTAGAAACTGCAAGTCAGAAGAGTGTGGAGTGACATCTTTAAAATACTGAAAGATAAATACTTGTCAACCTAGAATTCTATTCCCACTAAAAATACTTTTAAAAAGGAAGTGACCTTTTGTTGTGTTTTCGGTTTTTAATTGTGGTAGAATATATATAAAAATGCACCATTTAAACTTTTTTTTTTTTTTTTTTTTTTTTTTTTTGCTGAGAACGATTCACCCTGATGTAACATCTGTTGCCCATCTTCCTCCTTGTTTTGCTTGAGGAAGATTAGCCCTGAGCTAACATCTGTCCCAGTCTTCCTCTAGTTTATATGTGGGTTGCCTCCACAGTGTGGCTGATGAATGGAGTAGGTCCATGCCCAGGATCTGAACCCGCAAACCCAGGCCGCTGAAGTGGAGTGTGCCAAACTTAACCACAGTGCTATGGGGCTGGCCCTGATTTTAACCATTTTCAAATGTATAGTCCTGTGACATTAAGTACATGCACAGTATTCTGCAACCATCACCATCATCCATTTCCAGAACTTTTTGATATTCCCAAACTGAAGTTCTGTACCCATTGAAATGCTCACTTCCCCTCCCCCCAGCAGCCCCTGGCAACCACCATTCTACTTTCTGCCTCTGTGGATTTGATTACCCTGGATATCTCATACAAGTGGAATCATGCAACGTTTGTCCTTTTGTGGACTGGCTTGGTTTACTTAGCCTGTCTTCAAGGTTCACTGATGCTGTAGTATGTGTTGAAATTTCCTTGTTAAGGCTGAATAAATTCTATTCCATTTACGTATATACCACATTTTGTTTATCTGTTTATTTGCTGATGGGCACTTGGGTTGTTTCCACCTTTTGACTGTTGTGAGTAATGCTGCAGTGAGTAAGGGTGTGTAAATACCAGTTCAAGTGCCTGCCCTCAGCTATTCTAGGTATATACCCAGAAGTGAAATTGCTGGATCCTGTGGTAATTCTATGTTTAATTACTGTTTTCCATAGTATCTACACTTTTCACATTCCCACCAGGAATGAACAAAGGCTCCAAGTTCCACACACCCTCATCCATGCTTATTTTCTGTTTTGCTGTTGGCCACCCTTATATAAGTGAAGCTGTATCTCTGAGTGGTTTTGATTTGCATTTCTCTGATGATTAGTACTGTTGAGCATCTTTTCATTTGCTTGTTGGTCATTTGTATATCATCTTTGGAGAAATGTCTAGTCAAGTTCTTTGCCCATTTTTTGATTTATTTTCTTTTGAGATGTGAGAGTTCTTTATATATTTTAGATATTAATCACTTATCAGATATATGATTTGTAAAGGAAGTTACTTTTGAGAGAAGCAAAATCTGAGGGCACTCATTTTCAGCAGACTTCCACTGCAAGAAGTCCTTTTTCCCCCCATGTGGTCTATTTTATTATATTTTTAATTTTTAAAATTTTTATTATTTTTTTGCGAAGATTAGCCCTGAGCTAACATCCACTACCAATCCTCCTCTTTTTGCTGAGCAAGACAGGCCCTGAGTGAACATCTGTGCCCATCTTCCTCTATTTTATATGTGGGACGCCTGCCACAGCATGGCTAGACAAGTGGTGCATAGGTCCGCACCCAGGATCTGAACTCACAAACCCCAGGCTGCTGAAGCAGAACACTGCACCACCAGGCCAGCCCCTGCAAGAAGTCTTAAAGGAAGTTCTTTAGGCAGAAGGAAAACACTAAAAGATAGAAATTTGGATCTTTGAAAAGGAATGAAGAATGCAAGAAATGATAAAATATGATAAAATACATTTTCTTCATTTTTAATCTTTTCAAAAGATAATTGACTAATGCAAAGATAGCAATGATTTACAGGCTTATAACACACATAGAAATAATTGGTAGATGTCAATAGGATAAAGAATGGAGCAGAGGAAAGGAAAATATAGTATTAGGTGCTTATGCCATACACGAAGTGGTATAGTGTTTATTTGATGGTAGGCTGTGTATATTTTAGAGCAATTGCTATAAAAGAAAATAAAAATAACTTATAAACCCACAGGGGAGATGAAATTAAATACTAAAAAATAATCAGTCCGAAAGAAGGTAGGTAAAGATGAAAAAGGGAACAAACAACAGGTGGGACAAAAAATAGTAAAATTGTAGATTTAAATCTAACTATTTTGATAGTCACATTAAATATAAATGATCTAAACACTCCAATTAAAAGGCAAAGACTGGCTAGAAAAGCAATGCCTAATTATATGATATCTACAAGAAACTCTCTTTAAATGTAAAGATAAAGATAGATTAAAAGTACAAGGATGGCCTACATCTAGCTCATGTGAAATTACAGGGACTGTGTCTATCCTCCTCCTGAAACACTCTCCCTGTCCCCCACAAAAGAGACAAAATACACAAAAACAACAGTTCTCAAGACATGGGACATGAGGCAGTGATGGTCAGTGATCCCTGAGTGATGAGAAACAGATGAGGTAAGCCCTGCGCTTGCCCCAGTCTACTGCATTGAGAGACTTTCCAGGTCGTGGCACAGAGAGTGAGAACTGATGTGTGGAACTTGGCATATTCCCCAGGTTGAGCAGATGTTGCTGCTCTGAAACAGACTAGCAAATTATAAATGCAAGACTTGAAAGGAGCAAACTATTTCCAAGTCACTTATCTGTATCCCAGAACAAAGTTCAAGAAAATTTATAGGAATGGGAAATAATCTAGCTCACAAGAAGTTAAAATTCTCAGTGTCTCATTCAGTTAAAGATTCCGTTATATGCTCAGGAGCATAACAACATGACCTATGATCAGGAGAATAATCAATAACTCAAAACTGACAGAGGACAGAATTAACAGAGGTTATTAAAACCAGTTGTTATAACTGTATTTCATAAGTTCAGAAAGTTAGAGACGTGGAAGCTTCAAAAAGACCCATGTAGGACTTGTAAAGATGAAAACTACACCTGAGATGTAAAATATGCTCAAAAAGATTAATGGCAGATTAGATACGGCAGAAAAAAGATTAGTGAACTTGAAGGCATAGCAATAGAAACCATGCAGAATGAACCATACAGAGAAAAAAGAATTAAAAAAAAGTAGAGAACATCAGTGAGCTGTGAGATACCTTCAAACAACCAAACATGTGAGTGACTACAGTTCCTGAAGGAGGCAGGGGTACAAAAAAATATGTCAAGGAATAATGACCAGAAACTTTTCAAATAAGTTTCATTAAGATGAAATCATAAACTTGCATATCAAGTTATTCAGTGAATTCTGAGTATAAGAAACATAAAGGAAGCAACACCAAGGTTCATCAAAATCAAATTGCTGAATCCAACTGATAAACAGAAAAACAGAGAAAAAAGACATGGTCATGTTACATGCATAGGAACAAAGATAAAGATGATGCTAGATTTGTTGTCAGAAACAATATCAGCAGAAAAACAGTGGAGTAACATCTTTAAGGTACTGAAAGATGAAAAGTGTTAACCTAGAATTCTATATCTGACAAAAATACGTTTCAGAAACAAAGATGAAAAAAAGACGTTTTCAGATACAGGAAAGATGAAGGAGCCCGTCACTAACACTCTCCCACTTCAGGAAAATTTTAAAGTATGTCCTTCAGGCAGCAGGAAAATGATACCACTTGAAAAAAGAAAAAAGAGCAACAGAAGTGGTAACTACTTAGGTAAATATGTAAGATTTTTTTTTATTAGCTTAATATCTTTTAAAGGTAATTGTTTAAAGCAAAAATATTAACAGGATATTGTGTGGTTTATAACATACATAAGAGTAAAGTGCATGATAATGGCAGCTTGAAGGCTGAGGGAAATCTGCAAGTACATTAAGATTCCTGGGCTCTGTGTTAGGTGGTATTACAGAACCTAGAGGTAGACTGATAAGTTAAAAGTTGTAATATAAACTCTAAAGCAGCCACTAAAATGGCAAAACAAAGAGTTATAAGCCAAAAAACATAGTCTTGCACTACATAGCAATGTTTTGGTCCATGATGGACTGCATATATGATGATGGTCCCATAAAATTAGCACCACGTAGCTTAGGTTTGTGTAAGTATGCTCTGTGCTGCTCATGCAACGACGAAATCGCCTAACGACGCATTTCTTAGAACGTATCTCTAAGTGATGAGTGACTGTAGATAGAATTGAATCATACCAAATAATCCAGCAGAAGCCGTAAACAGATGAAAACGGGAACAAAGACCAGATAGGACAAATATAAAACAAATAAGATGATAGACTCAAACCTAATGATATGAATAATCACGCTATGTGTAAGTAGTCTAAACACCCCAATTTAAAGGCCGAGATTGAATAAAAAAGCAAGATCCAACAGTGTATTTGCCTTAAGAAGCACTTTAACTATAAACACAAGTAGGTTAAAAGTAAAAGAATGGAAAGATACAACATGCTAACCTAGTTGAAAGAAACTTGGAGTGGTTTTGTTAATATCGCACACAGTAGATTTCAGAGCAAGGAATATGACCTGGGATACAGGTCATTTCATAACAATAAAAGGATCAATTAATTAAGAGGACTTAACAATGCGAAATGTTTATGCACCTAATAACAGAGCTTCAAAACACACAAAGCAAAAACTAATAGAGATGCAGGGAAAAATTCACAATTATGGTTAGAGATTTTAGTAACTCCTCTCAATAATTGATATAACAAGTGGACAGAAAATTACCAAAGATCTACAGTTGTGTGCCACATAACTATGTTTCAGTTAATGACGGACCGCATATACGACAGTGGTCCCATAAGATTAGTACTACATAGCCTAGGTGTGTAGTAGGCTGTATCATCTAGGTTTGTGTAAGTGCACTCTCTGATGTTTGCATTATGACGGAATTGCCTAACAATGCATTTCTCAGAATGTATCCTTGTCGTTTAGTGATGCATGACTGTATAAAAAAGTTGTTTCTATACACTAGCAAGGAACCATCAGAAACTGAAATAAAAAATGCCTTTTACAATAGTATCAAAAATGTGCAATACTTATGGCTAAGTCTAACAAAACAAGTTAAAGAAAACAGAATTACAAAATACTGCTGAGAGAAATTAATGCTTAAATAAATTGAGAGACACAGTTCATCTTCATTATTCATAGATTCTCACTTGGGAGTTGGTCTCTTCGCTAAAATTTGTTTGTAACCCCCAAGTCAAAAATTGCAGTACGTCGAGTTCAATTTTAATAAATCAATGATATACATTAAGTAATGGGTCTTTAACCAGAAACATACAAAACAAGGTCATGTATTTATTGGCTGACAAAAGTGTTATAACCAGAGTTTGCCAAGGACTTAACCCTGTATTTTCCATAGAAGCGGTTATTCAGTAATCGCTAATTCACCATTCGTGGATTCGTTATAGAATATAACTATCATTGAGATGTCACCTCAGTAATGAGAGCTGACTATATCCTGTGCATGGGGTGGAAGACTCAACTTTGTTAAAATGTTGATTTTCACCAAATTAATCTGCAGAATTCAAGGGAATTCTACTCTAATCCTTGCAGGCATTTTTGCCTAAAAGAAGATTCACGTGGAAATGCGAGAACCTATAGTGGCCAAACAACTGTGAAGAAGAACAACGTTGGTGGCCTGCACTACCTAATTTCAAAATTATTACAAGGCTACAGTAAAAACAGCATTGGCATAAAATAGACAAATAGATCAATGGAACAGAATAGGTAGTCCAGGAGTAAACCTGCTTTGTATAGATAGCTTTTTGACAAAACCATAAAAGCAGTACAGTGGAAAAAAATGTAGCCTTTTCCACAAGTAGTGTTAAAACATTGGATGTTGAAAAACAAAAAACAAAATTGGCTTCATACCTTGCACCATATGCAAAAACTATTACAAAATGGCTCAGAGACCTAAATTTGCAAGCTGAAACTGTTAAGTTTATAGAAGAAAACATAGGAGAAAATCTTTGAGACTGCAACTAGGTAGTGATTTCTTGGATACAACACAGTCCATAAATGAACAAATTGATAAATTAGATGTTATTAAAATTAAAGTCTGCTGTTCAAAAGACACCAGTAAGAGAATGAAAAGAGATGCCACATACTGGGAAAAACTCTTTGCTAAGCATATACCTAATTAATAACTTGTATTTAGAATATATAAGGAACTCTTCAAATAAAAAAAGAAATAACCCAATTAAAAATGGGTAAAATATTCAGATAGATACTTCACTACAGGATATATAAGGATAGCATATACACAAAAGGATGCTCCACATCATTAGTCATTAGGGAAATGCAAATTAAAACTATAGGATACCATTACACAGCTATTAGAAGGGCTAAAGTTATGAAGATGGACCATACCAACAACAAACAACAAACCCATTGGCTGAGGCCACACTGTGTTTTAGCAGTGTTTAAATCCCAAGGTGGCTTTATATGGAAAAGTCAGAGATCGTAGGCATGACACATGGCCTGCTTTGATCAGGTCCTTGAGCATCTTCTTTCCGTTTTTCAGAACCTTGATGGCACTGTCAAGACTAGAAAGGACAATGGCAATTAGAGTCTAAGGCTTTATGAAGCACTCCCTACTTTTGGCATGGCTTTGTAAAATGATCTTTTAAATATAAAAGTTACACGTATTAATTGTAAAAAACTAAAACAGTGTAGTACTTCAAAGTAGAAAGTGAGGACGCCCTGCCACCAGTCTCTCTTCCCCTTTAATACAGGCACATGGTTGATTTAAAGAAAAATAAATCAGACAATAAGCTGTTAGAACTTTTTTCCATTCAGCATTTTGTCATGTTTTCCCATGTCAGAACGTAAGCGCTGTACCTCATTCTCTTTTTAAAGCTGCGTAGTCCATTGTAGTTTATTTAACTGGTCAGTTATTGATGGATAAATATTTAGCTTGTTTATAGGTCTTGCTATTGTGATCTTGCTGCGTGGATTTTCGTTGTGTTATATCCGATGCAGGTCTTCCTGTAGAATGAATACTAGATGTGTAATTGCTTTTTTTTTTTTTTTTTAAAGATTTTATTTTTTTCTTTTTCTCCCCAAAGCCCCCCGGTACATAGTTGTGTATTCTTCGTTGTGGGTTCTTCTAGTTGTGGCATGTGGGACGCTGCCTCAGCGTGGTCTGACGAGCAGTGCCACGTCCACGCCCAGGATTCGAACTAACGAAACACTGGGCCGCCTGCAGCGGAGCGCGCGAACTTAACCACTCGTCCACGGGGCCAGACCCGTGTAATTGCTTTTTTAAAGATAGATGCAATCGAAACTCTGATCAGTATTGCCGGATTGCCCACCAAAAAGTTTGTACTAATTTATGTTTGCATCAATAGAGTCTGCACCCATTTCCCCGTGTCCTCGCCAATACTTAGCATGATCATTTTTTCATCTTTATCAGTTTAATGGGGGTAAATTATATCTCACTGGAATTTGAATTTTTTTCTTTAAACTTTAGTTTTTTCCACAGATGTTTTTACTCAATAAATTATATTATGTGAATTGATTATGCACACATTTGCCCTTTTTTCTATTGGATTTTTTAAAAAAAAATTGATTTATGTCATCTTCATGTTTTATGGATGTTGACAGTTTTTCCTCGGACGTGGCGAGTATTTCTCTCCCAGTTTGTGGACTGTCTTTTAGCATCATTTATGATGTGTTGTGCTCTACAGAAGTTTTACATTTTTTGTGTTGTTAAATCCGTCAGTTTATCCCATTATTGCTTTTAGGTTTCTCTTCTTATCTAGAAAAGCCTTCTGTGTTACAGGATTATGACAGATATTTACCCACGTTTTCTTGTGCTTTTGTTATATTTTTATGTTTTGCATTTTAATACTCCTGGAATTTATTTTGTGTTTATATGAGATAGAAACTTTAATTTTTTCCTAATTAATTGGCAATTATAAGAGAGCAGTTTGATACTTGGGTAGTGATTTACTTGGACATCCGTAGGTTATGGTCTGATCTGAAATTAGAAGGTTTATTCCAGTTATAGGTACGGACAGTCACGTTTCTCCTGGAGGCGAGAGCCTGTGAAGGGAAATTCCTTTGCTCTTTTGACTCTGTTTTCTTTCTTTTTGTTTTACTTGGGAATTAGGATGAGTCCCTTCCAATAGCAGGTAGTAGGGAAAGGGGAGCCAGCAAAGAGACGTAGAAACTGTCCAAGTCATTTCTGGGACCAGAGATGGAAACGGATCCTTCTGTGGAGAGACTTGCCTTGGCAGGTGAGGTGGACTGACTTTGCAGCAACGACTCTGGCTGTAGTTTAACCACCTTAACGATGTTGCTACTCTAAGTTCTGGCTTAGGAAACGTTTGGTGTTTGGTGGATTCTGGTCACATAGTTTTTCCTGCTGTTTCCTCCTGTGCATTCTATATTCTGCTAATGATCTGCTTGCATCCACCAGAATGTGATGTGTTTTCTGTGCTTTCTCCTGCATGTGTGCTCTGGAAAAGCTTCGACTGTCTTCCTCTCTTCTTCCCTTGCTAACTTGGTGAACCCCTACTTTCCGTAACTAATCTAATCACTGCGTCTTGAAACCCGCCTTTGAACATCCCCTTCAGCTGAGCCCCCTGTAACAGCCTTACCATAGCACTTACCCTATTGTCGTTTATTGTATCTGTTTATTCTGTGTGTCTCTTTCTTCTCCCAGACTGTGAGCTCCTTTGGGACAGGGATTTTGCTGTTGATTGAAAACTGTGAGCTACAGTATTTTGGTATAGTTTGAAGATTCAAGTCCCAGAGAGTCCAGGACATTTTATGACGATATCAAAATAGAGTATATCTTGAAAAATAGAGTTTATCTTTGTTTTGTTGAGTGTGCAGATTCTATATTATAAATAACTATTTACCAGTGTTACTTATCAAAGATATGGAGAGTTACATGTAAACAAATTTCATATCAACAAAGGTGGAATATTTCCTAACACAAATATGAGAAATCTTAAATATAATTTATATATCATACTTGGGAAGTTTTCAGTGGAAAGAGACTTATGATGTTATAAGTTAGTGGAAAAAATAATAACAAATATATACTTTTTGCAGAATATTGAAGTATATTTGTATGAATAAAATAAACTTATCCTAACAGAACATTTTTTTTTTTTTTTTTTTTTTTTTTTTTTTTTTAAGATTTTATTTTTTTCCTTTTTCTCCCCAAAGCCCCCCGGTACATAGTTGTATATTCTTCGTTGTGGGTCCTTCTAGTTGTGGCATGTGGGACGCTGCCTCAGCGTGGTTTGATGAGCAGTGCCATGTCCGCGCCCAGGATTCGAACCAACGAAACACTGGGCCACCTGCAGCGGAGAGCGCAAACTTAACCACTCGGCCACGGGGCCAGCCCCCTAACAGAACATTTTAACTCAGAATATTTTAGCTTAGAAAGCCGTGAAAAAAAAGTTTATAAAACCATATTACCGTTTTCATATTTAATAGTGTTTTAACAAATTGTCGATCATCAGAATAATCACTCTTATCATTGTTAACAGTGTCTTGCATCATCTCTTTCAACCAATACCGTCATCCAGTAATATAAAAACTATCATTTCTATTTTACTGTCTAGGAAAGTGAGATTAAGTACTTTCTCAAGGTCACATAGATATCAGTAAGTGGCAGATATATCCAAAACAGGCTCTTAAACGTCATATGGCATTTGCTCTCTCAAAAGCAAAGGCTTAGATTGTGAAATCAGTTATCATTAATTTTATTTACTTCTAAGTAAGTGTCTGCTATTCTAGCCACCAAATTGACTTGAACCCTATTTTAGAAAATGTTCACTGAGGGATTCTTAGATCTCTTGAAAATGTATTCCTATGCAGCAGTGTATATATTTCTCACTTTTTGCGCTGTTGACTTTCTTAAAAAGTTATATATAAGTTGTGTTTATAGATCTCAGTTTTTATAGACCATTTTGTTTTATAATTTTGTAGATGCTTTTCAAAATTTTGGTTTAATTTTTAAATTATTACTCTTTCGCTGAGCTCTGTCCACTCGTTAATACTCATAAGACTTCTGATTAAATAGAGGAACGGCTATTTAAAATAAAATTTTAATCATTTTGTAAAATAAAACATTTCAACTAGAACTAATTATTTTTAAATTTACCAACTTTAAACGTTTGGATTTTACTCATAAAGTTTTATCAGAGTGAGATTTTGCATATATTTTGCACACCTTTCACACCAAGACTTCAGTCACTTCTTAAATCCGTTATTGAATTCCATTAGTGGATTCCATGAATCAGTTATTGAATTCGTGTTATTTTTATGAAGCAGAAAGTCAAAATTAACTATGTTTATCACCATGTTATTAGTTAGCACTTTCTTTAAACGATTTAGATCAGATTTTCTTACTAAACAAGTTTACAGAGCCATAAACATACTATTTTAATCAATTTGATATATTTAAAATCTATGCTATTGAAATTTTTCTTACTATAAACTTGTCACATTATGCTTGCTATGCTCCTAATATTTTTTGCATCATAGCAGGTAAATATGCAGCATTGCTGAGTTATGAAAATTCTACAGTAGCAGTATAAATGCTGTTTTAGTGTTACGCAAAATTTTCTGATTTTTACCAGGCTTTAATATTTTCTTATTTTTAACAAATTGTCATTTCTCTTTTGCCTTTTGATATTCAAGTAGCTCTGTTATCTGTTGTACTTAAGTATTTAATGCCGTGGTATGCAAGGACCAAAATTGATTATAGCCCCGGATCACCTTGTCTTTTATATAATGACTGACTTTCTGGTGCAATTTATAAAATGTTTATTTGAATGAATGCACAATGGAATAAGTAAAATGCACGTTTCCTTAAACCTCTCTTGACCTACTCTTGTCTGTGCTGTTCAAAAAAGTAATAATTACCAGGTTTTTTTTGTTTGTTTGCAGGCCATTTGGAATGGTTTAATTGTAGTATCAGCTGTCAGCTGTATTGGTCCCACAACTGGTTGCTTAGATTCTCTTTCCTTTTATTTATACCTTACTAGGTATTTATGTAGTGTTCTTATGAAATAATTTCTTACTCATAATGATAGTGATCAAGTCATTGTACCAAACTATTGGTCCTGTAAAGAGTGTTAAAAAGTTAAAAAATGCTATTTTCTACATTAAACCTTGCCATAGAAAGTTTGTAGATGAAGTTCCTGAAACTAGCTGTTTCCGTTCATATAATGTATTCTCCATACATTGTGACCACAGTTTCACTGAGCAGGAAGTAACCCATTTGCATGTTTTAAGCTTAGGTTTTAAAGTGGTTTTTGGCAGTGCTTAATGGGAGATGAAAGAAAAACTAAAAAGCAGTTAAATGTGTCTATAAATGAGATGAACAAAAAATACAGGATTAAAATAATTTAATATAGTATTAGGAAAATATTCCACAGCTGTAATAATAATTGCAGTAGAATTTAGAATACCATACGTTTAAAAACCTTAACTTCCTAACAACCTGGGAGTTAAGTAGGATAGATTTATTACCTTTATTTTACAGATAAAGAATAGAAGTCTTAGTAAACTTAAGTAAAAATCATTAAGACTTTGCAGGTTAGCAAAGGATTCCTTAAGGCATAAAAAGCACAGGCTATAAAAGAAAAAATTGATAAATGTAATACGTAAAATAATAGAAAAAAGGACGCAAGCAGTTCACAGAGGAGGAAACCTGAATGATCAATAACATGTAAGAAGATGATTAGCCTCACTAGTAATCTAGGTGTGCAAATTAAAATTATAGTGGGCAAAACAAAAAACAATAGTGGGATACAAGTTGTCAAACGTCAAATTGTCAGAAATTAAAATCACACGGCATGTTTCAAGGTCAAGAGGAGGTGGTAGTTCTCATGCTGCCGGGGAAGGTGATTTGGTACAACCGTCCCGAGTACCATTTGGCAGCGTGTTTTTGCTTGCGAGAGTGAAGCATTGGAAGCAGCCTAAACGTCTGCCGATAGGGGAGTGGATTAAAAAACTGATAGGATATTGTGATGGAAATTATACAGCGGTCAGAAGTAGTGCACTGGATCTATGTAAGTTGCAATCTCAAAAACATAGTGAGTGAAGAAAGACAATTGCGAAAATATATTTATTATAGTACTATTTATGTGACTACAAAACCACATATATCAAGACTATGTATTTCTTCATGGATATACATGCATGCATATAAATGTATTTTAAAATATCCCAGAGGGATATAGTCTAAATTTGTATAGTTTCTGGAAAAGATAAAGGTAACGTAACTGGAATGTAATACTGTTTTGTTTTTTTTTAAGTAAGACAACGCAAACATGGAAAATGTTAATTTCGGTTCTGAGTGGTAAGAATATAGGCGTTTGTTAAATTATTCCTTCTACTTCTCTTAACATTTCATAACAAAAGGAAGCTTCTAAAAAATAGTTGGAAGAGCTGGTAGTTAAACTTAGGACTTGATTCCCAAGTCTAGAGCTTTTTCAATTAATATGCTGCCTCAAAGTGAGAAGTTAAAAAAGTAAGATCAAATGATAGAAAAAAGTAGACAAAATTTATTTTTACATTAAGAAGAATCAGGAGAATTTTGTGTTTATGCTAAAATTTTTTCATAGAAAAAGAAAGTTACAAGATAAATTAAAAATTATTGCAATCTTATATTATTTTAAAATATAAGCATGCTATTATTATATATATGTATAGGTACTTAGGGAAAAAGTTACCTTAGGGAAAAAGTTACCTTAATTTATTGTTTAAAATGTGATACTTAATTCTGTTGCATGTAATGAAAGACATTTAGATGGTTTGAATTTTTTATATAAAATTCATGAAAATAATTTAATCCAAATATACAATCTGACTTCAATCTAAAAAAGTCAAAACTAGCTTTTCTTCCATTTTGTAAAGTCATTCTTCACAAAAACTTTACAGCCTTTTTATTTACAGCTTCTCTCCAAGATAAAATGGCAAATCCCAAAGAGAAAACTCCAATGTGTCTGGTAAATGAGTTAGCCCGTTTCAATAGAGTCCAACCCCAGTATAAACTTCTGAGAGAAAGAGGGCCCGCTCATTCGAAGGTAAGGTTATGAAGAGAGGTGGTGAGACATGCTTTCAAAGTCTATCAGATTTATCCTCTCAGGGTTTAACTGTGCTGCTTTTTTGGGGGCGGGGGCAGCGGATGGCCTGAAAGCTCTTAGTTCTATATGAAAAATATTTTGAAGTCTGTACTAAACAATTTTATAGCTCATTTTGGTTTACAAAGCTCTTTCAGATACAGTGCTTCACAGAAGTCTTCACAAAACACAACATATGGATTTTTGACTTCCATTTTGTTAATTAAGAAACTCAGGCACAGAAAAGTTAAGTCACTTGCTTAATAGTTCGTAAGTGCCAGTGCCAACACTTAAGTATGTGTTCCTTGGCTCCCAAGTACAGTGCTTGTTCCATTAAGTTGTAACTGCTAAAGTGAAAATGGAGACAGAGCAAATACACCGGTGATTACCTAGTGAGACATCATTTTCATTGTGAGGTGTAATTCTAAGATTCATCATTTATAAAAGTCTCAAATACCAGTATTATTATTTATGCAATCACTTATAACATTGTTCTTTTAAATGGAAAAGCAATTTATATTTATATACAGGCACACCTCGTTTTATCGCGTTTCACTTTAATGTGCTTTGCAGATATTGCATTTTTTACAAGACCTTCCACCAGCAAAAAGATTACAACCTGCTGAAGGCTCAGATTGTGATTAGCATTTTTTAGCAATAAAGTATTTTTTAATTAAGGTATGTACATTGTTTTTTTGAGATATAATGCTATTGCACACCAAATAGACTACAGTATAGTGTAAACATAACTTTTATATGCACTGGGAAACCAGAACATCTGTGACGTGCTTTATTGTGATATCCACTTTATTGCAGTGGTCTGGAACTGAACCCGCAATATCTCTGAGTTGTGCCTGTATACTCTCATATGTATACATTTACGTATGCATGTAAAAAGAACATGAGCTCTATTCATGTGTTTTTGAAAATCTCAGTTATGCACAAAACTCCTTGGTACATTTTTAATCTTGGATATTGGAGATTATAATACTGATTATAAATTTTTGTATACAGTGTGGAAACAATTGATTCTGTAAAAGTTGGTTCATCTTCATAAAGCAACTGGCTGTTGTATTATTTAATTGTTTTCTAGCATCTCCTTCAAAGAAGGAAAATAAGATGAAACAAATCTGTCAACTTTGTTCCCTCTTAGAGGCTTTTATGAAGGATTTCTGGGCAACAGTTTAATTTGTTTATCATGTCTTTTGTGCAGAGCGAAAGGTTGTGGTCTTGTTCTACCTGTCTAGTCATATATCTTGACTCTCTTTCATACGCATTGTCAGACTCATTGCATACTCATTCTCTTTATGCCCTTAGTCATGTTGAACTGTTTGCATTTCTTAGAATATTTCTTTTCTGCCTTTGCTTATGTTGCATTGTCTGTCTGCCTTGAAGGTCCTTCTGCCCTTACTCGTTTTTGAACACTCAGCTCACATATCACATCTTCCAAACCTCTATGAAACTCCTCTGATCCCTCCACGGGGTCTCCAGCAGGCCCCGCTTTTCTCAGTTGTTGTGAGTAGTACTGTGCTGTAGTACAGTGATATATGTTGGTCATTACTGTTGTACTGGACTGAGCTTATTTAGGGGTAATAAATATTTTATTCTTCTCTATTTTAAGGTTCTTCTAGTATATGTCCTCTTTGTGCCTCATTGCCAGTTCCAGGTAGTGTTCTTCCTTGAGATAACCCCCAGCTTTGAATTTCATGTTAATAGCCGCCCCTCATGATAGTCATTTGCTAACCTCTGGGTAATCATCACACCACTCATGGCTCACTTTTCCTCTCTCTAACACTCCTTCTGTTTTAAGTTTTGGTGATTTTAGTGTCTGAATATATGATTGTTCCAACATGCTGACTTTTCAGTTTCTTGCACTTCTCCAATTACCTTGCCTTTCACTCTCCTTCAGCCACTCACTCCTGTGATCACATTCTTGATCTTATCGTTACCAATAATTGCAAGACCCTCCATAATTTTAATCTCAAGCATTCATCTCTCTGGCACCTGCTGACTTTCTGGTTCATTCCCTCTAGTAGTTTGACTTCAGTAGTCCTTCCACACCACAAATCTATTGGTTCTACCACCTTTTTACTGTTTCTCACTTCCCTCAGTCCTCACGTGGTTCGTTAACCAGCGTAAATTGCATATGTCTTGTATGCACCCTCAGCTTTCTTGCTCCTCTTGGTTAGTACTTGCCTGACAAAGTCCCAGCTTAAATCTGATCTCTGCCTTTCATTCTGAATTATAGATGAACCTCCTGTAGAGGCCAGGCCCTCTATATCTGTACTAGATCCCAACCCCGTCCCCTATTCGAGGCCATTCCTCCAGCTTTCGCTCCCCCTGCCGACCTCCGTTGCCCTCCCCTTGTTCTGCCTCATCAATTTCCCCTTCTAGTGGGCAAGGTTTGTTGTGATGAAAGTGGACTGGAGTGTGTCTTATAGACCCAGTGTGGTCCACATTCTTATTTCTAGACAGTCCTGGGATTCCCTTGGGTACTAAGGAGATTCGGAGATGCCTTTGGCCAACCTGCGCGTACTGCTCTGGGTACTTTGGTTATAGACCACCCCGTTTAGCCTGCAGCTCAGTTTTTGAAAGAGTGAATATTAGAATAGTTAGCATATTCTTGAATGAAAGATAATATTTATGTTATTATGTTATAATATTATCTAATATTAGTAATTAATCTTAATATTAATTGGCTAAGCCTGGATCCCTTCTTTGGAAAGCAGAGTCATTTTCATTCATGCATGTCTATCAGTGGTTTTAAGTGAGACATAAAATGTGTTTTAGTTGAAATAAATGATTATCTCTGGCATGAAAAATTTAAACTAAGTTCCAACTCATTAATTTTCTTGGGACATAAACCATTTGTATGGTAATTTCTCTATATATGTTTGCTTGTTTGTGTGTATATATATATATATGCTTGCAATAGTGGTTCTCAACCATGACTGTTCATTGGGATCACCAAGGGAGTTTTAAAAAGTACTCATGCTGGAGTCTTAGCCCCAGAAATTCTAATATAATTGGTCTTGGGTGAGGCCCAGATATCTGGACTTTTTTTAAGCTCTCAGATGACTCAAATGTGCATCCAGAGTTGAGAAACACAGGATGGAGATTAATGTCTTCAGGGCGGTGTGGAATTGTCTTCTCATACGTACTTCTTGATGGGAAGTAGTGACCTACCTTATGTTTACATGCTTTCCTCTTTCCTCCATTGAGTCTTAGAGAATCTGAACAACATATGGCAACTCTTAATGTGACTATAAATATGAAATAATTATTTCAGTGTTTGCCTTGCCCCCTTTTTTCAGCTCACTTTTTAATTGAACTCTGAAGTAATTTATTATACCTTATATTAATGTGAGTTGTTATGACATTGCTGTATCTCCTAGGTACCAAAATACAGTTCTCTATTTTTTCTATGAATTGTTGTTTTGATTTTCTCAAACCTCAGAAGAAGGCTGTTATAATGTAGAGTATAAGGAAGAGAGCCATAAATAACACAAAGTGATATTTTTTCCCCTTTTCCTTTAGTTCCCTGTTTTGGTAAGTTTTCAGTACGCATGACTAAGTGTTAAGAAAGCTGCACTAGTCCTGGCATTTTGAGAAGGTTTACTTTGGAATAGATCTCGCTGAGGGAGACAGTATCACCCAGTGGCCTTGAAGCCAAGTAGTCTTTTTTTTGTCCTTGCTAGATTTTCCAGGCTTGATCTTTGCCCTACATTATCCAGCTCGTGTGGCCTTGAGCAACTAATTTAGAGTCTTTCTCATCTGTAATTTGAGAAATTCAATTACCCATTCTAGTGTGGTATACTGGAATGATGCTTTATAAATTCTTGGCAATTATGTTGACGCTGGAGGTACACAGATAGTTTTATCATTGCTTATTAGTAGAATATAGGATTTCTAAAAAATCTTTGGGACAATATCTGTTGAGTATTTGTTATGTGACAGGCACCGTTCCTGCACAGGAACTTCCTGCTCTGCCATCTTCTGGTGTGTCACTCGTTGTATGTTCTGGATACAAATCCTCTATTAGATATATGCTTAGCAAATATTTCCTCCTAGTCTATGGCTTATCTTTTCTTTTCTTAACAGTGTCTTTTGAAGAGCAGTTGTTAATTTTGATGAATTTCAATTTACCCATTTGTTCTTTTATAGATTGTGCTTTTGGTGTCATATCTAAGGAATCTTTCCCTCGTCAAAGGTCATAAGATTTTTCTCCTATGTTTTCTTCTAGATGTTTTATAGTTTTAGGTTTTACATTTTGGTCTTACAAATTGCCATTTTGAGTTCATTTTTTGTATGTGCCATGAGATATGAAACGAGGTTTATTTATTTTTTGCGTAAGGATGTCCAGTTGTGGAAGAGGCTGTCTTTCTCCACTGCAGTGACTTTGCACCTATGTCAAAAATCAGCTGTTCATATATGTGTGTGTTTATTTCTGGACTGTGTTCTGTTCTGTGTTCTGTTTTGCTATCTTTATGCAAATGGTGTGCTGTTTTTGTGTAATTCTTGAAATTTGATGGTAGTGGCCTTCTGGTTTTGTTCTTTTTCAGAATTGCTTTGGTTATTCTACATCCTTTGCCTTCTCATAGCAGTGTTGAAGTCAGCTTGTCCATTCTATAAAACACCCTGCTGGGATTTTGAATAGAACTGCCACAAATCTATAGTTCAATATGGGGAAAATTAACATGTTAGAACAATTGAGTCTTCTAACCCATGAACCCATCTCTCATCTATTTAGATGTTCTTTAATTTCTCTCAACAAAGTTTTGTAGCTTTCAGTGGACAGGTATTTCACATCTTGAGGTTTATCCCTAAGTATTTCATATATTTGATGCTATTGTAAGTAGTATCGATTTTTAAATTTCAGTTTCTAGTTGTTCTTATTGATCCTTGCTAGTGTATAAAAATATACTGATTTTGTCTATTGATGAAGGATTCCACAGTCTTGCTAAACTCACTTATCAGTTCTAGTAACTCTTTCTTAAAGATTCTATTTGGGTGTTCCACGTGCCATTTGTGAATAAAGACAATTTTAAATCTTACTTTCCAATCTGAATGTCTTTTATTTATTTCTCTTGCCTGGTTGCATTGGCTACAACTTACAGTGCAATGTTGAATAGAAGTGGTGAGAGCAGATGCTTTGACTTGTTCCGGGGCTTATGGGCAATTGTTCAGTTTTTCCCCATTAATTGTGACCTTAAATGTAGCTTTTATTATAGATGCCTTTTATCAGGGTGAGGAACTTTCTTTCTACCTATCGTTGGCTGAGAGTTTTTAACATGAATAGATGTTGATTTTTGTCATGTCGTTCTTCTACACTGATTGAGATGGTCAGTATGGTTTTTCCGTTTTTAATCTCTTTATATTGTGAATTACGTTGATAGATTCTCAAATATAGAATCAACCCTTGCATTCCTGGGATAAAACACTTGGCTATAATGTATTATCTCATTTCTATATTGATTGATTCCATTTGTTAATATTCCGTGAAGGATTCTTACGTTCATCTTTATGAGAGATATTGGTCTGTAGTTTTGTTTTATTTTGTTTTCCCTAGTAGTCTTACTCTAGATTTGCTATCAAGGTGATGATCGAATAAGTTGGGGAGTGTTCCTTATTCTTCAGTTTTTGGCAAGTGTTTGTGTAAATTGATATTATTTCTTCCTTAAATATTTGGTAGAATTCATCATTGAAATTATCTGGGCCTGGATAAGCTGTGGAAAGATTTTTCGCTAAACATTCAGTTTCTTTGACATATACATGGCCATTCAGGTTACCTATTTCTTCATGAAAGAGCTTTAGTAATTTGCGTCTTTCAAGAAACTTGAGTTATTGAGTTTACTGGCATAAAGTTGTTCAAAAATATTCCTGTGTTATCTTTTTAATACTTAAAGAATCTGTAGTGATGTCACTGCTGTCATTCCTGATGTTGGTGATATGTGTCTTGTTTTTTTTCATGATTAGCCTGGCTAGAGGTTTACCAATTTTATTGATCTTTGCAAAGAACAGCTTTTGGTTTTATTGGTTTTTTTTCTTTATTTTTCTGTTTTCTATTTTGTTAATATATGCTTTTACCTTTGCTACTTTCTTTTTTCCTCTTTACTTCAGATTTGATTTGCTCTTCTTTTTCTACTTTCTCAAGATTGAAGCTGCAGTTAACTTATTTGAGACCTTAGTTCTTTTCTAGTAAAAGCGTTTAGTGCTAGAAATTTCTCCTTAGTACTGTTTTAGTGTCATCTTGTGAGATGTCGTGTTTTCATTTTCATTCAGTTTAAAATACTTTCTAACTTCCTTTTGACTTCTTTTATCTGTGGGTTATTTAGAAAGGTGGTGTTTAGTTTCTAGATATTTGGAGATTTTCCAGAGATCCTTCTGTTACTAGTTTCTTACTTAATTCCATTGTGGTCAGAGAGCGTACTTTCTATCACTTGGATCCTTTGAATTTATTGAGACTTCTTTTATGGCCCAGAATATTATCTATCTTGATAAATGTTTTATGAAAAATTGAGAACAAATGTATATTTTGCTCTTTTTGGGTGGAATGTTCTAAAAATGTCAGTCAAGCTATGTTGGTTGCTAGTATTGTTCAAGTCTACAATATTTTTTTGTGATTATCTGCTATGTTGTTCTATCAGTTATTGAGAAAGGGTATTGAATCTCTGACTTAAATTGTGGATTTTCTATTTTTCTTTGAAGTTCTGTTAGTTTTTTTCTCATATATTTTGAAGCTGTGTTATTGCGTAAATATTTAGGATTGTTATTGATTGATTGGCCCCTTTATCCTTATGAAATGACCTTTGTTATCACTCGTAATAGTCTTTGCTCTGAAATCTACTTGGATATTAATATGGCCGTTCTGACTTTTCATTGACTGATGTTAGCATGATATATTTTTTCTTTCTCATTGCTTTTAAACTATGTGTCTTTATAGTTGAAATGTATTACTTGTAGGTAGCATGTAGTTGTATTTTGCTTTTTTATCTAGTTTGACAGTCTCTACCTTTCAAATGGGGCATTTACACCATTTCATTTTAATTTTCACAACCATCCTGTGTTCTTATCAGCCCCATTTCACTAAAGAAGTAAGAAAATTTAGAGAAAGAATAAGTAACTTCCCAACATTACACACAGTAAATGGTGAGCTGCGACTTAAACTCGTAAACAGTGGCCCAGGATTCCTACTTGAAATTATTAAATTCTTATTATATGGTGGGATTCTTTTTTCCCTCCAGTTTTATTGAGCTATAATTGATATATATAACGTTGTTATTAGTTTTAGGTGTACATTGTAGTGGGATTCTTAAGAGAGGTTTCAGAAAAGCCAAGGATTGAGTTGGATACTTTTGGATTTTATAGAATGTTCACGTTGATGGAGGTGAGAAGGATAGTGTGAATGGCAAAGTCTTATTTAAGAGAATGCTGTTAGGATGGTCTTGTAGTAGTTTAGGGAAAGATATTGATATTCTTCACTAAGACACTGGCAAAGAGTATATACTGGAGGCTGGATCTGACGATCGTTTTTGAAGTTGAGTCAGTAGTTTGGTAATTGGGTGCAGGAGAGAGTGGAGAGAGAAATGGAGGAGACAAGGAAGACGACTCCGGGGTGTCTGGCCTGTAAGCCTGAGAAAATGGTGATGTCAGGAAGATTAGGAGGCAGGAAAGATTAGAGATGGGCCAAGTGAAATATTGAGTCTGAGTTTATAGGGGCTTAGACTAGGTGTGACAACAGAAATTACAAGGAACAGTTTTGAAGAATTGTTAAATAAGTCTTAGGAAGGCAAGGATAAACAAAGAAGCTAGTGAGGTTTTGAATCTGAATTAATGGAAGAATAATTGATGGAACTTTCTGAAGTATGAACTGATTTGGAGGAGAATGGAGGACACATTGTGGCAAAGTTGTTTGTTAAATACTATGATTTGAAAGACAAAAGAGCTATTCATTGAAAAATCATCTTAAAATCAGGTAAATGTATTAAAGATATATTTGAGGTGTATACTTTAAACTGAATCAGAATAAAGGAAAACTTAATCACTTTTAACACATATGTACATATTTTGAATTTCACGATTGTAAATATTTCCCAACTCTGTTTTGAAAAATTGAAAACCTACAGGAAAAATTGAGAGAGAAGTATAATGGATACTCATATATCTTTCAGATTTATTAATCATTAATTTATTTGCTACATTTACTTTATTTCTTGCTCCTTCTGTGTAAACATATACTTTTTCCTTGAAAAATCTGAAAATAAATTTCAGCTGTCGTGATATTTCACCTTTAAATGCTTGTGTATCGATCTTGTAAGACCAAAGACGTTCCTATACATAGCCACAATACTATCCTCACTCTAGAAGTTTAGCCTTGACTGAACATACTATTTAATGTATAGTCCCTAGTCAACTTTCCCTAGTAGTGCTCTGAATGCTCTTTATAGTTTTTTCTTCCCAGTACAAATTCAGTCAAGGGTCATGCATTGTACTTTATCATGTTTTTTCATGTCTCTTTAGTGTCCTTTAATCTAGAACAGCCCCCTGCATTTCTTGTTTTGTCTTTTCCTTCAATGACATTGACATTTTTGAAGAGTTTAGGCCAGCTGTCCCATAGAATATACCATAATCTAAATCTGTCGGATTATTTCCCTATGATTTGATTCAGTTTAAACGTTTTGACCGAGAATACTGCATACTTCTCGTTGGATCATATCAGGAGGCACATGATGTCAGTTGTGTGATTATCAGTGATGCTAACTTTAATCACTTGGTTAAAGTATTTCCTACCTGATCTCCTTCCTGCAAAGATACATTGATTTTTTGGTAATTAATAGTGTTTTTAGGTTAGTACTTTGTATGCCTGCAAAGCAGCAGGCTATCTGTGGAGTAAACCAGTGGGTTGTGTATGTATCCTGTAACTTGATCCTAATTTTGAAGGTGAATAATAGGTTTTTGGGCTCATATGGAAATGTGGTGCGAATGGAATGTTAGGGTGTGCAAGGGGGAAGGGAGGGTGTGTAACAAAGATGGACGGGTAGAACTTTTGGGCCATGCCAGAATGGGAACAATCACACGTTTCTAACGGTCTTGGTTGGAGCGATGCCGTTGGATTTGCATTTTAGAAAGGAAGTTTTAGCAGCCATCACGTGGGAGATTATTATGTCTAAGATGAAGATGATGAAAGACTGCATCCCGTGCAGCAGTGTCACTGGCAGAGGAGAGAGATTTGAGAAATCTTTGTGAGGTTAAAATCGACAGAATTTGGTGACTGGCTAAATGTTGAATGTGGAGGATTGAGAGTTTCTTGGTGACATAATATTTAATGGGATTTCCTGAGTCACTGACTAGATTGTGCCAAGTATAAAGTTAAAGGGATTAGGTTTTGTAAAAGTGTTACAGAGACAGGGCCCTTTGGGTTCTCTTACAGTTTCTCTCCTTTTTGTATTTACTCTGTTGAGGACTATTTGAATGACATTAACAATATAATTCTATTTGGGAACGGATTTATTCTTGATTTATTCTACCCAAAATATACACTTGGAGCTGCCTTTGGACAGGATAGTACACAATTTGGCACTCTCTCTTAAAATTCTTTCACTAGGTAGAGTAAGATTTTTGTTGCAAATGATTTGTAAAGTTACCTCTAGCTCTAAAATTTTGATTCTATGGTGTCTGTTTTTCTCTCAGAGAACACATTTTATTTCCTGAAAAATTTTAATGTTTTCTTTGTCTCTTTATGTTTTTCCAAGATGTTCTCAGTGCAGCTGAGTCTTGGTGAGCAGACATGGGAATCCGAAGGGAGCAGTATAAAGAAGGCCCAACAAGCTGTTGCTAATAAAGCTTTGACTGAATCTACGCTTCCCAAACCAGTTCAGAAACCACCCAAAAGTAATGTTAATAATAACCCAGGTATGGCCCTGACTCGGTTCCTTCTGTTGCATTGTGTGTGTTCTGGATGTGCTGCTCTCTGTATTTTCCTTTGTATGCCAGGCCAGTTGTGTAATCAACAAGTCTTAAAGAACACACAAAAAGGACAGCTGAATAATAACTGAAGGGGAGAGAATGAAGAAGGTAATTGTAATTATTTTAAAAATTTGCTGTAATGGATACTCTAAAGGTGCATTATTTACCTTTTAAACGTTGACAAAAAGACACTTGAACACAAAGGACCAGAAAATATGACTGCATTTTTTTCCTAAAGTAAAGATAGAAATGATCAGTTTCTCTTTTTAAATATATAATATTTGATTTAATAATTAAAAATAGTTATTATTTTGGTTTAATAAAAAAGTATAAAATTCACCGTAAGCATCTTATTATGTTGTTTGTTGGTGTAGAAACTGTTGATAGAATCACTTAAACTTAGAACATTTATATGAAGCTTATTAAGAAACCCAAAATCCAAAAAAACCACCTGCGTGTTGTATACTGCTAAGTAATTGAGTGTTCTGATTTTAAGCTCCTAAGGATAATTTTCAAAAGTGGCTCTGATTGCATACACTACCACACAGCCATGTCTCTCTTGGGAAGAGGCAAACCTGCATTGGACATAGTACATGAATTCATAACAGCAAGATAATAATACTCCACACGTTTAGTGCCAGCCCTACATCCGTTTACTCATTCATTAACTTATTAATTCAGTTGGTTACCTTCTGAGCAATATTGCTTTAGGTATTTTTGTGATGGGATTTAAAAAAGACGTTTTGCCTGCCAACGTGACTCTCTAATCTATTTAATTATAGCCCACACGCTTGTGCCCGTAATCAAGTCAGACGCTTCTTTCTTTCTCCTGTGCCATTTGCTAGGTAGACGGCGTCTACTCTTTCGAGGGCCGCTCTTTCCAGAACTCCATGACTCTGCTCTTGTTAGTTCTTTTGCTTCTGTTCGGCTGATTCCAGTACTTATTAAGTAAGCTTAAACAAGCCAAAATCTTATAACAATAAAGAAAAAACTTATTCTATTCAGTTTGAAGTTGGTAAGAGGCTATCTACTTTTTCAATTTTTAAAAATCTCTTCAGGTTACTGGGTGATTATTAGTACTACACCACTACCTCTGTTTATTAAGCACATGCTTTTCTGTGAGGATTTTACAGTTGTATATGTGAAACACATAACTCAATGGTAAAGATTAAGTGCCAAGTGGTTATCAGTATTTTAAGTAATGATAAACATGGACTGACATAGTTGAGGTAAAATATGGACGTTGAATGGAGAACAGGCAGGTATAGAGGAGAGGAAAGAATATTCTAGGCTGAGGGAATACTGTGAGGAAAGGCATTGAACTAGGACTCTGGGCAGTGGGTTTGCTAAAAAAATCTTTTTTGGCAGGGAAAGATCTGCCCCGAGCTAATATCTGTTGCCAACCTTCCTCTCTCTCTCTCTCTTTTTTTTTTCCTCCCCAAAGCCCCAATAAATAGTTGTATATTCTAGTTGTAAGTCCTTTTAGTTCTTCTCTGTGAGCTGCCACTGCAGCATGGCTACCGACAGATGAGTGGTGTGGTTCCGTGCCTGGGAACCAAACCCAGGATACCAAAGTGGAGCGTGCCGAACTTAACCACTAGGTCGTCAGGGCTGGCTCTAAGAAATTTTTTCATAGATGGGTTTTAGAGCAGATAAGTGACTAGTAAGAGATAGAATGGAGATGTAGTTAGTGGATTGTGATGGACTTGAATGCCAGCTTTAGGTTGAATTTTATCTACAGTTTGGAGGATTAATATTTACGAGCTGATGAATGATGTGTTTAAAAGCATTTTAGGAAATTCACTGACATGTGAATGGAAAGTGGAAAACACTGAAAAGCAAAATCAGGAAACCGTGGCCACAGTTTATGGGTGAAGAAGGAATAAAAGAAACTCACGTGCACTGAGTACTCTGCGCCCTGCTCTGCGAGAGTATTGGTGTGGCAGTTGGAATGGAGCAGAAGGACAGTGTTGCTGATCCAGTGGTTGAAACCATGGTGGTGAACGAGCCCTCCAGGGCATACAGTGTGAAGCAGGAGCAGCCTGTGCTGATCCCTGAGAAGTCTGCTTTAGAGGGTTATAGCGGGAGGTTAACAGAGGAGTCAGAGGAAGGAGACTGGGGAAAGTCTGAAAGGCCAGTGGAGATAAGAGTTTCCCCCGTTGAATGTTGCAGTGAGCTGAGAGAATGAATAGGTTTTGGGGGGTAAACTTTTAAAATAGAGTGTAATATTATGGGTTGTGCATGTCTTCGTGTGTAAATCAAATCAGAGGATGAATTAAGCCAGAAGTTGATGAACATACACAAAAGACAGATGTCTTAGCTGCTGTTTTTGCCTCACAACCTTCTATTCCTAGATCTGTTGGGAGAGATGAGACCTAGTCAGGCTCCACATTTATCAGTTAGATGCAATAAAGAAACCAACACAGTTTTGGCCAGCTTGGATAGTGAATTGCAGCAACAATTAAACGATGTTCTTGAGAGAATTTCCCTAGACATTCAACTGGAACAGCTTCATCCATTCTCTTACCTATAAGCCATTTATTGTATTTTATTTTTTATTTATTTTGTTTTTGAGGAAGATTGGCCCTTAGCTAACATCTGTTGCCAGTCTTCCTCTCATGTCCCCCGCCCCCCTTTCTCCCCAAAGCCCCAGTACATAGTTGTATATCCTAGTTTCAAGTCATTCTAGTTCTTCTTTGTGGGATCCTGCCACAGCATGGCTTGATAAGCCGTGCTTAGGTCTGCATCCAGGATCTGAACTGGCGAACCCAGGGTGGCTGAAGTGGAGTGCACAAACTTAACCACTCAGCCACGGGGCTGGCTCCCCTATAAGCCATTTTTAAGTGATTTTTGACTTACCCAATTTGGAGACCCAAACATTCAGCTCACTGCTTAATTCAACATTAAATTTTATTATTCTGTTTTGCCCTATATGTTTACCCTTGTGTTTAAGTTCCTTTTATTTTTTAATTTCAACAATACAAGAGTCAAGATGACCAAAAGCCCCATACGTAGCCCAGACAGATGGTGCTTGCCTAGAGCCCCAGCTCTGTGGGAAGCTGAGGCAGGACGATCTCTTGAGCCCAGGAGTTCTGGACTGTAGTGTGCTGTGCCAGTCGGGTGTCTGCACTAAGTTTGGCATCAGATAGTGACCTCCTGGGAGCAGGGGACCACCAGGTTGCTTAAGGAGGAGTGAACCAGCCCAGGTCGGAAACAGCAGGTCAAAACTGCTGTGCCGATCAGCAGTGGGATCAGGCTGTGAATAGCCACTGCACTCCAGCTGGGGCAACATAGCCAGACTCCATCTCTTTTGCCCCTCCCTGATTTAGGATATCCTGTGTGTCTAAATAAATAAATAAGGAAGGAAGGGAAGCACGGAGGGAGAGAAGGAGGAAAATTAAGTAAAAGTTTGCCATTTTCCAAGTTCATACTTAAAAAAAATGCATACACAATAAATACATAATACATAATGTCAAACGATATCATTTTCCCCTCTCATTGTATGAGAGCTCTCCACGTCATTGTCACCATATAGTATCTTCAGCTTTCACAATTTTTAGCTGTTGTTCTGGTGGTATAGTAGTAGTTCATGGTGGTTTTAATTTGCATTTCCTTAATAACTAAGAAGGTGAGCACCTTTTCATATGCCTGATGTAGCATGCCAATTGCAATATGTTTCTCATTAAAAAAACTGCATTGTCTGTTTTTTAAGTTTTTCTATTTTTTTATTGACTTGTAGGGTTCTTGTATATTCTGGAGTTATATCTTTTGTCAGATATGTGTATTGCAGATATTTTTCCATACTCCTAATGGTGCGTTTTGATGAACAGAAATTCTTTATTTTAATGAAGTCTAATTTATTAGTCTTTTCCCTTATGGTTAGTGCTTTTTTGTGTACTGCTTAAGACATTTTTGTCTCCCACAAAAGTTATGAAGATAACCTCATAATATTTTTAGAAGCTTTGTTGTCTTATCTTTTAAATTTACATTTACAATCTGTTAAGAATTGAGGTTTACATATGATGTGAGTTTGGATTCGAGACTTTTCTTCTTCTTTTTGATATGTAGATATTCAATTAACTGAGCACCATTTATTGAAAAGATAGTCCATTTTCCTCTGCACTGCAGGGAGGGGGGGTTTAGTCCTGACTTCATACGAGTAGAAGGGTCTTAAATAGTAGTTATATCCCAGAGAGGAGTTAAATTCATTTACAGCGTGGCTATTCTGCCACTTAATTAAGAATGTATCATAGAAGTATTTAGTTTTTTCCTTCCTTTATTTTATTTTATTTTCTAACTTTTTTGGGAAATAATTTCAGATTTATATAAACTTTGTAGAAAGAGTACATAGAGCTTCCATGTACCCTTCTCCCGGATTCCCCAATTGTTAACATTTCTGAACCATTTGAGAATAAGTTGTGGACATGATGTCCCGTTACCCCTTCAATGTGTGTTTGCTAAGAACATAGACACTCTCCTGTCAGGAAGTTAACATTGACCTGGTGTCACCATGTGATCCACAAACTCCATTCACATTTCATTGATTGTCCCAGTAACGTCCCTTGTAGGTCTAGGATCTAATCAGGATCATATACTCATCCTTTCTCTTCATTCCACTTCAATATGGAACAGTTCCTCAGTCTTCTTTGTCTTTTAGGGCCATGACATTTTTGAAGAGTACAGACCACATTGTTTGTAGAATGCCCTTCACTTGAGTTTTTCTGGTGTTTCCTTATGATTTATGCATTTTATCATGAATATCACAGAAGTGACCTGAGCTAATCTCAGTGTTTCATTTCAGGAGACACACGATATTGATTTGTCTCATTAGTGATGACTTCTGTCACTTGGTGAAGAGTATGTCTGCCAGGTTTCTCTGTTGTGAAGTTAATTAATAAATGTTTTATTATTAAATACTGAGTAATAAGTATTTTTTGAGGAGATACTTTGAGACTATATAAACATTTTGGCCTCATCAAACTTTCTTTCACCCACCAGATTTGGCATCCATTGATGATTCTTGTCTGAATCAATTATTATTCTGAAGATTGCCAAAGACTGAATTTTTTGTGAGTGTGGCTTAAAACAACAGTAATGTATTCTTTCTCAAGGGAGGACTTTTTTTTTTTTTTTTTTAAAGATATTTTATTTTTTCCTTTTTCTCCCCAAAGCCCCCCGGTACATAGTTGTGCATTCTTCGTTGTGGGTTCCTCTAGTTGTGGCATGTGGGACGCTGCCTCAGCGTGGTCTGACGAGCAGTGCCATGTCCGCGCCCAGGATTCGAACCGACGAAACACTGGGCGGCCTGCAGCGGAGCGCGCGAACTTAACCACTCGGCCACGGGGCCAGCCCCTCAAGGGAGGACTTTTTAATTCCAATATTCTTTTTAGAGTTATTAGTTGGCATTCTACCCAAGAGCTTTCTCATCCCCCTCATTTTTCTGTTTGTTCGTTTATTTACATCACTATAGACTCTTGGATTCCTGTTTTACTTAGGGGCTTATAATCAATCGATTATTTATTTATTTATTTATTTATTTTTATTGGACCTGAGCTAACATCTGTTGCCAATCTTCCTCGTTTTTTTTTTTTCCTCCCCAAAGCCTCAGTACCTAGTTATATATCCTAGCTGTAAATTCTTCTAGTTCTTCTATGTGGGATGCCACCACAGCATAGCTTGATGAGCGGTGAGTAGGTCTGTGCCCAGGATCTGAACTGGCCAACCTCGGGCTGCTGAAGTGGAGCATGTGAACTTAACCACTATGCCACTGGGCCAGCCCCACAGTCATTTATTTTGATTCTCAACTTGTCCCAGATTTGGCCTGTGGTATGACCCCTTCAGGTTGACTCCTGTGTCCTTCTGATGTTTCTTCATCATTTTTTGGGAGCACTTCATATTTTCTGGCACAATAAGATGTTCCTAGGCCATCTTGTATTTTCCTTGCCCTGACCGTGGTGCCAGCCATTTCTCTAGGGAGCCCTAGTTGGTTGATTAATCAGTTCATTCTTTCAACGAGTATTTATTGAGTAACTACGATGTTCCAGGGGCTATTCTAACTTCCTACAAAGCTGTTTCCTCAAGTGTTAGTAATATGTTGCTCCTTGAAGACTAATTGTGGTATTTTTCTTTCACCTGTCATGTAATAGGAATCCACAGTTGTAGTTATGTATATTTGTATAATTAATTAGCCTTTTTATATTTATCACTGATAAATTTAGAAATTTTCTTTAATGTGTCTAAAACCCACTAAAAACTGTTTGTTTACAGTGTCACCTTTGTAGCCATACAACACATGCGGGTTCCTATGTACTGATTATCTTTCTGCAACCTGAGTCCAACTGTCACATGCTGAAAACACTGGTACTTAGCACTACCTGGAGGCGTCTCATGGTTCGAAGTTACCCTTTAAGTGTTTCTGTGAAAGCATTCTTGTGCGAGTAGAGGCTGTGTAAGTGGAGATGTCAGTCTCCTTTAGGAAGTGGATGGAGATACTTCGCTCTAAGAGTTGAAACCTTCTCAGCATAGTTTGTGCTTTTCTGCTTCTCTTCTGCTCTCATTCACGAAGACTAGTTTCTAGTGTTTCTATGAAGAAAATATACTGCGGCCTTACTTTCTAATGAGGGATTTATATGAGATTATTTATTTCTTTAAACGATATGAATACAAACTTTTACCTAGTTTAAAATCCCATTTTGGTATGGATGGAAGATATGTTGTGTTCTTCCAGTGCGTTAAAATCACTTCACTGGTGATTTTAAAACATATTAGTTTCCTGTTCATTGCCATACTTAATGGATGAGGCCTTTCAAGCTTTTTTTTCCTTTCCTCTTTTTCCCAGTTTAACTTTATGCTATTTGTGTCTGTGTGATTATTGCAAAGTAGAATGCAGAATGACATAAATCTTACAACTGATGAACATGTTGTTAAACTGAAATCTTTATGGAATACAAGAAATTTAAACTTTTAAAGGTATAGATTGCTCTTTGGTGTTAAAAAAATCTTTGGAAAACTGTTAGGCAATTTCTAATAAGGTTAAACATAAGCCTACTCTAACACCTAGCAGTTCCACTACTGGATATATACCCAAATGATTATATATCAAGAGAAATAAGTGTCTGTATCCAGTAAAAGACTTATTAAATAAGTGTTCAAGGTGGCTTTATACTTAATTGTCCCAAACTGGAAACAACGCAAATGTTCCATCAACAGCAGAATAGATAAACTGGTATATTCATTCAGTGGAATGCTATTCATTGCTAAAGAAGTCTGAAATATTGACCTAGTCAACAAAATCATTATGTCGAGTGAAAGACGCAAGACAAAATAATACATATTCAGATTTGAATAACAGACAAAACTAGTTGATGGTGATAGAAGTCAGAATAGATAACTTGGGGAGGTGTGTATTGACTGGAAGAGGCGTGAAGGAACTTTCTGGGTGATGGAAATGTTGTCATCTTGATCTGGATGGTGGTCACAGAAGTGTTTACATGTGTAATAATTTATGGAGCTGTGTGCTTAAGGTTTGTGCATTTTACTTATTATCCCTCCGTAAAATACTGTAAAACAGAAAGAAAGAAAAGAGAATCCCTTTATGTTTGACTTTCTCTTCCTCGGCCCTGGTGCATTTATTAAATTAGGGGTGTAGACTAATTGGACTTACTCTTCAATATATTAACTTTTCTTTGCTGTTTTTCTTAGCCTTATCCTTTTCTTTTCTGCCCCCTTTATTTTTCCCTTCTTCTTAACCTTGGTTTAGCTCCTGTTCTTATTATATTCTTCAGTGGTTTCACATAAATTCGTTAGAAGTGAGACATGAAATGAGCAGTTGATTGAGTGCTGATGGATTGCTTGTGACCTGGCTCCAGGTGTGCATTTGCGTCAGGCTCTCCCACCCCTCGCCTGGTACTTGATGCCAGTCCCAATTTATCTGCTGCAATAAATGGAGCCATTTTTGTATGTGCTGAATGGAGTGTTAAATGTATGGTACAGAAGGCACAATTCAAATGAAATAGCACAAATTTATATTGACAATAAATTTTACTTTCTATAAAAGCTTTAGATTCATTTTTGTGATTTGTTATGTGGGACGTATGCTCTTTCTTAAATGACCTCTTTTGGTACTTAAACTAACTCGGTGTAATTTTCCATTGTATGTTATTTATTATGGAATTTTTCAAACTTTCACAAAAGTATAACATAGTGAACATCCCTGTACCTGTCACTATGGTGTCCACATGTGGTGGCCAAGTTTGTTTCTTGTCTCTTTCTGAATTATTTTGAAAGAAATCTCACATATATCACCTCATCCATAAATGCTTCAGTATGTATCTTTAAAGATTATCTACAGAAAAATATTACTTAGAGTTACTTTGTCCTGTTGTTGATTATAGGAAAAAACTCAAAACTTATTTCCATTAGGTAATTCCAAGAATTAATGATGACCCTATTCATTGCTAACTTTAGTTGCTTGGTTATCAAAGCATAAATAAAAATATTCACAGAGGATAATATTTCTAATGATTAAATAATTGTAAGCTTTCTGGGGTAAGTAGCATTTATTACTTTCTTTATAATATCCAAACTAAGCAATCTATGAATCTCCTGTTTGCCTTGTTTTAAAGTAGTATGACAATAAAGTTGAATTTTTGCTCACTAATGTACAGAAAATGTTGCAAGAACCCCAAAGAGATTTCGTTAGAAACAGTTTTCCTGTTGATGTAGCTTGTTTATGCGCCCCCTTGGAAAATCATACAGACGGACCATCCACTCCCACTTTTTCCCATGGTCGTTATGAGTATATAAATGTAGCTTGCATGACGTCTTTTGGAAATATTTCACTTGTGGGCCTTTGTTCTTTCTTGAACAGGTAGTATAACTCCAACCGTGGAACTGAATGGGCTTGCTATGAAAAGGGGAGAGCCTGCCATCTACAGGCCGCTGGATCCAAAGCCTTTCCCCAATTACAGAGCCAACTACAACTTTCGGGGCATGTACAATCAGAGGTTTGTATGTCTCCTTTGCTTTTGTTCTTATTTATTATTTTATGCATATTGTGAAAGTTTCTCAGACCCAGAGTATTTTCATTGTAAAGAAAATTCACGTCAGGCATTTTGCATGGAATTTAGATAAATCAGGCTCACAAGGGAAAACAACTGGTCTTTAGCAACTGGTTGTACTGAGTGCCGAGAGCCCTATATTTGTCTCCGGCAGGACCACATTTTAAAATCATTTCCCAGCTGACTTGCTCATTTACTCACCAAGCAGATGCTTAGCTTCAGTAGCGTTTTTCTTAATTTGTCCTAATACTTTACAAACATGAGTGTTTATAATTTATAGGAATTTGTTAGAAGGATTTACTAAGTCTTTCTGCACATTGCATAATTTTGTGATAGTTAACAAATGTAACAGAATTTTCCGTAAAAGCATGGCAGAATTTTAAAAAAAGGCTTTTCTTTGATCATTTATAAAAATCGTGTAACTCATTGTAGAGAATGTGGAAAATGCAGAGAGTTAAAAAGAAAATATAATTAACAATCCCAGAATTAAGCACCTTTAATATTTTGATGTACTTAACATTCTGTTTATTCTTTGCATACCAATGTATTTAACCAATTTGAAGTTATCCTTTGTATGCAGTTTCTGTAGTCCTTAATTTAGGTGTAATGTATGAGTGGTAAAATGCACAAATCTTAAATGTACATCTTGATGACTTTATTGTTTTATTGGAGCATATCTGTATTTCTACTTTACGTGGTGACTCTTTGCATATGTATATCCTTGTGTGATCACCACCTGATCAGGAGCAGAGCCTTTCCGTGACTCCTGCGAGTTTCCTCAGACCCCTTTGCACTTGACCCTTCTCCTCCCAGAAGTGACCCTTTTCTAGCATCACAGATTAGCTTTCCTGCCGTTGAACTTCATATCAGTAGACTCGTAAAGGGTTCACTCTTGTGTGTCTGGCTTTCTTCACTTCATATAAGTGTTTTCTTGTTTTGTTTGTTTGCTTTTGACTTGAGATTCTTATGTTGCCTCTATCTGGGTTTTGCCCTTTTTTATTGCTGAAAACTGTTCCTTTGTATGAATATATCATAATTTGTTCATTTTGTATATGCAATATTGCCCTCCTTTTACTCAATATACTTATAATTTTTCATATCTTTAAGTAACCTTTGAAAAATACTTTTGATGGCTATATAATGCTTTATATGGCTAAGGTATATAAACAGGTTTAATGAAATTCCTTATGAAGGAATACTTCATAAGTGTGTAAACAAAGTATGCCTGTTTTTGATCATCTAGGTTGTTTCCCCTTTTTTTGGACAATTATAAGTAATGTAGCAGTAAACAATCTTTATGTTCACATTTTAGTTCACGTCACTGATTATTTCCTTAAGATAGATTACTATAAGGGGAATAGTGGGTTAAAAAGAATAATGTATTGTCTGGTTATGTTAAAGTTGGTACTAATTTCTTATAGTATATTCCGTACCATTCTGACAACACTGAATCTAAAACACATTGTCTTGTTTGATAGTTAAAAAGAGGAATGTTTTGGGGCTGTCCCGGTGGTATAGTGGTTAAGTTAGTGTGCTCCGCTTCTGTGCCCCGGGGTTTGCAGGTTTGGATCCTGGGCATGGACCTACACACCGCTCATCAAGCCATTCTGTGGCAGCATCCCACATATAAAATAGAGGAAGATTGGCACAAATGTTAGCTGAGCAACAGTCTTCCTCAAGCAAAAAGTGGAGGGTTAGCAACAGATGTTGGCTCAGGGCCAATCTTCCTCACCGGCCCCCCCCCCCCCGCCCACAAAAAAAGTGGAGTGTTTTAATGTTTTGGTTTTATTGATTGCTTGTGAGACTGAACAGTTTTTCAAGTATTTATCTGCCTCCTCTGGTCTTTGTGGTGATGTCCCTTGTCCACAAGATAGCTGACACCTCTCTTGCCCTGCAGAAACTTGCAGTTAATGGCTTGTAGTCCATTTTTTCCTGTCGGGTAATGCTTCCAGAGAGTATTTACCATTTGCCCCTTGCTGTCTTGGACTAACCCCTCAGCTCCCCTTGGTTCCCTGGGATGATGTTCCTTTCCTGTCCTCTCCTGTAGCATCTCCTCTTCTGACTGTGGAGCATCCAGTGGCAGGCTTACCAGCTCTCAGCTTGGTGTCCTCACCACATAAAAGGCGAGAGGGATGTAACATTTCTCTCATAGTCGCTTTACTTTCTCTTTTCCTGTATAACATGCCCATTGCCTTTCTTGTCAGCCTGAGGTTACCTAATATAAATGAAATGATTTGCCCTCTTAAGCACAATAGAGATGTTTGGTCACCCAAGTCAGGAACACCTTGTCTATTTTATACTTGCAAGATATTTTACTTTTAATGCACTATAATGGATAGACTCAGGAGGATATTATATTTAAATGTTTGTGGTATTTTGATATCCAAAGTCCTTTATTGAAATTTTGCTGGAGTTTTGATTGGTGAATTTATCACTTTTAAATGAAAGAAATCTGGTGCTAAAGCAAGGAAAAATCAGACAATAATTTCTGTCCTCACGGAGCTCACGTTCTAATAGGGGAGGCGGTCAGTGGGTGGGAGGCAGTTACTTGGTGACAGGTGACTTTCCATAAAGACCTAAAGGAAGAGATGGAATGAGCAGTGCCAATGTCCTGGAGAGGGAGCATTCCAGGCGAGCCCCACGGCCCGTACACAGCCGTGCGGTGGGGGATGTGCCTGGCGTGTCGATGCCTCCCCCAGGACGCAGTATGGCGGGAACAGAGGGAGCCAAGGGCGACAGGAGTTGGTATGTGTTTGGGTTTGATTTTTTTTTCTGTTAAGAATGTTGACATTTTTTCCTTTGTTGGCAATTTGTGGTTTCAAGATTCCATACTTGTCATGAGGGGCGCAAGAATTTTATCTATGACTTCTCAAAAGGGTTGTGCCTTAGGCCATTCCCATTTAATGGATAAAGTGAACATCCCTTCAGATGTTTGGAGAATCTTTAGAATTTTCTGTGATCACAAAAAGGGTAAAAGAAAAAAAAAAATAGGGAAGTACTGGTAAGCTGCCAGGCTGTGTTTCAACTTAAAAGCTCTCTGCTCACAAAAGGGCAAACCTAGCCATTGCTCATTAGGCTGTTAAAATTGGATTTCACATACGACCTTAATTTGCAGATGACAACACCTCAATGTGTTACAGGGAATTTGGAACCGAAGACCGGAGGAGACTCTCCTCTCCTTGTCAGACTCCAAATGAATTAGTAGCTTCTTAACGAGGCAAGGAATGAAAGGTAGAGAAGTCTAAGAAACAGATATCATTTAGAAGGATTTTTGAAAAGGTCCTTTCATTTCCTACTTAACATAATATTAAGTAATAATTAGATATTGCTCATGCTGGTTTTTTATCTGTTGTTTTCTGACTTGAACTCCTTCAGCGGTCTAAGGAGGAGCTCATAACAAGCCCGTTTTCCCCGCTGCCCTGTTTTATGATGGCTGGAGAAACAGCGATTTATCCGTGAGCAAACTGTGGGTACGACCTGGATCCTGAAGTAGCTGTCTCCTTTGTTACACCCAAGATATTTGAAAATGAGTACATCCAGTTACATCTTTCTCTTCTCGTTTAGGGTACTGTTCACTAACAGTTGTAAAGTTGAAAGCTTACAAAATTTATATGGCAAAGTGCAAGATGTAAAGATTAGAGAACGTGTTTTTGTTCTCCCATCTTTGTTATAAAAAATTATATACTTTATCTCAAGGAAAGAAAGGCTGAAATCAGGCCTCCTGCAGTTGTGTGCATTCGCAGATGAAGGAAGCATCTTTGCTTGGCTAATGCCAGGAAGCCCCGCTCTGCTGACACAGACCGCCAGAGGGCCCCCACTCGCACTGCATTATGTGCCAGCGGGACTGTTTGCTCCCTGTGATGGGGATGCCTCTTGGGGAGATCGTCAGGTGTGGTTGGATGTAGGGCTACAGTGTGGTTTTTCCTCGGTTTTCGTTTCTCTCTTTCTAGCTCTTGTCCCATTTTTCCTCTGCTTGACTTTATTTTCAAAGAAGCTCACTTCCGTTTGCTGTATGTCCTACGTTGCATAGTCCTTAGACTTCTGGTAGTACAAGGAGCAAGTTTTTGTTTTTGGTAGTTCTTAGAAAAGTCCCAAGAAAAACTTTGAGTAGAATGTCCATCCCCGATTTTGTCATTCAGACTGGATTTGGGGTCTGGGGAGACTTTAACTGGCCAAGCTTGAGTTTGTGCCCAGCCTATGCAGAGCACAATTATTTTATAGAATGGTTCCCTAAAGGCAAAGATTCTGAGGGAGAATCGTTTCCATTACATAAATCAGAACATTTGGTTCAAATCCTGGTTCTGATGCTTTCAGCTGTATGATCTTGGGCAAGAAACTGGACCTCCCTTAGATAACATAGAGATAATAATACCAAATGAAAGGACTTTTAGCAAACATTTATTGAATGCCTACCGTTTACCACATGTTGTATTAGAGTAGATACTTTGATGAAAAACAGTCTAGCAGACTCAGAGTCTACTAGAAGAGGAAGACAATGGAAAGAAACAGGAAGAGAGTGATAGATGTGTCCATATGGTGCTATGGAAACATTGAGAATAAGCACCTGGCTCAGATCTGGGAATTGAAGAAGCCTCTCAGAAGGAATTCACGCTTGAACTGAATCTTCAAGTTAACTGGATGTTAGCGAGGGAAAGAAGGTAGAAGGTAAGGAAAGCAATCTTGACCTTGGGAACAATGGCAAGGAATCCTGAGAAGTTTAGTTAGTTCATGGTCTTTCAAGCAATCTGCTATGCCTGGAATGAAAAGGCTGAAGTTCAGGCAGGGTGCTGATGTGGATGTCCTCAAGTGACATGCCGAGAGGTTGAGATTTTACCCTCAAGGTGATTGCGAGCTGAGGTGATTTTAAACTGAGGGATAAAATAATTGGAGATCTGTTTTAGGAATATTGCTTTGGCAGTGTGTGGAAAATAGTTGGATAGGCTTAA